GCTGTGTGTCTGAGGATGTGGATATGGACATTGCTGAGGCTGTGTCTGTGGCTGAGCCATGTCAAGTCAGTCTGCTATGATGTAGATGATGTTGCAACAGGTCGAGAGATTGCAGCGGAGTAGGATATAGTCGTCGTTGTTGTCTGAGTTTAAATAGTTTCTTTGCCTCAGGTACGATATGTTTTTTGACATTTCAGTTTCATTATTGTAGATATCTTCTGCCACACGGGGAAATATTTCGATGATGTGTACCATCACAATTGGAACCATTCACGAACTGTTGATATTTGTAGCATCGGAGTGGATTAGGGACATACACCTCCACTCCGAAATTGAAATAGCCTGCTGTGTTTGATTCTGGAAGGGCTGAACGCGCAGATGTCCTTAGATACGAAAATGGAATTGCATACATATTCTTTATTTAAGATAACACCCCCTTTTTTATGGTGAAACGTTTAACAGCGGTTATCGCATGTTCCTTTAATTCTCCAGACATGTCAGAAAGGCAACGAGCAATGTCACGAACAATGCCTCGACAAGAATTTAATGTCCTGTGCACAGACAGAACAACCTCAGTATTGGCAAATGTCTGGCTTGATGACAATATAGAGATTTCTGTCTCGGTGGACACTCCACCAGCAGTGAACCACTACGGAGGCGCGTGACATTGTTGTCTTCACCACAAATAAGAGGCTCAACCTTGGAAATAGCAAACGGGTTTAGTTTGATCGGTAGAAAATCAGCAGGCTCAATTACCAGAAATCGAGACGAGGACTCACTGCTTGAAGAAATATTTTTAAGTTGAGAGCTCTAAATGCTTTTCTTTTCATATCGAGATGAACCAGCACCCCTGCTCCCCTCCCTCCACGGAATGTCAACAAGGACAGTGTCAAATTGCACCGGATTTCCATGAAGCTAACACCAGGGGTACAGGGGTGTTTTACTATGGCCAATATGACACGAATAGCTGTAATTGTCCACCAACTCAATGCCAGACTTGTTCGGCCCATGACAAGAAATTGGAGACATGCATTGTTCGGAGGTCAACATCTCCATATTGGCCCATGAGCCATCTCCTACAGGCATAAGACTCGGTAATGTCATATATATTATTTCAAATCATTCACTTATGGCCAAGACCAAAGGTGGCTGGGGACCTCGTACCCAGAATTCCCGGCAGTTTAACATGCTTTTATACGTATAATATTCCGATTAGTGTAATTTGCAGTGCTTGTTCGCCGTTTATATGAGTGAGTGAGTTTTGTTTTACACCGCTTTGAGCAATAGTCCAGCAATTTCACGGCGGGGGACATCAGACATGGGCTTAACACACTGCAACAATGTGGGGAATTGAACCCGGGTCTTCGGCATGACTAGCGACCGCTTTAACCACTAGGCTACCCCACCGCCCCTGTTCACTGTAAAGAACGTAATACATCTCTTGCTCAATATCTTTAGGGTAGCCTACTGGTTAATGCGTTCGCTCGTCACGCCAAAGGCCAGGGTTCGATTCCCCATATGGGTACAATGTGTGAAGCCCATTTCTGGTGTCCCCCGTCGTGATATTGCTGGAATAATCCTAAACGTGGCGTAAACCATACTCACTCAGTCACTCTTTTATCATTTAAACCCGTTGCGGCGAAGATCGTTGATCATACTATTAACCACTGGTGTGTCAGCACATGTTTAAATACCACTTTTACTGCTGATTGTTTCGTGGACAGATTTGTCACTCACTAAATAGCTCCCTTGAAATACTGTAGGTTTTGACAACGTTGCCGTATAACGTGACCCAACATGATAACGTTGTCACATGAAGTTGACCACGTTCCCCTACAAAACTAAACAGCATTGTCCTCTAGGGCGACTTAACATGACAGCGTAACCCTTCAGTGCAAGGCAACATGACAACGATTTCAGTCGGGTGGAAACAGTACGCTCTTACCACGGTACCTCGTTTATTGCTGTTTGTGTTAACTATGATGAGGATGATGATGATGTCAGTGTCAGTGTTATTACACGGCCGTTTAAAGTAGACGGTGTATATCTAGTTTTTTAACACAGCGTGAATGCCGCAGATGTTAGTTTTGTCATATAACCTTTTACCGTTGATGACTCAAATTAACAATACTATTAGTAAGCTATTGTTTCACCAACCGTTATATTCTATCAAAATGTTTTGATTAACATCCACGGACGGTACATAATTTCTCGAGATTGATCGCAGCTGTCTCTCTGTATGTCGTTTGATTGATGTAGCTGACATTTTGTTATTTTCGTGTCAACGGTTGCAAACCTCATTCAACTTCCATCATCCCTTGAACAAAATAATAACAGTAAGTATATGATAACTCAGTTTGGTGTTGACGTTTACATGCTCATGACGAAGTTGAAATCGTGAAAGAGCATTAAATCTTTCAGAAGAGGTTTCTTATGATTGTGGAAAGGGTTTGGTTTCATGTACTAACATTCCTAGGTTACTAACTGTGAGAGGTTATAAACTATAAGTGTTTCGCTAGTTAAACACTACGCGTAGATTTACAGCTTATACTCAAATATAGCAGATGATACGTGGGTAAACCTGTGTTTATAACACCCAGTCTAACCGGCATGAACCGGAGTCTAGTCTCACGCAGGTCACTGTGATGTTGTGTACATATGTCACGGTGACATTTCGTCAAATTACTTATCAAGGGATACTGAAATGTCACTGCTCAAACTGCTGCATCAGCTGTTTTGAACGATTGAATTGAATGTCTAAAGTACATAACGACCTGGTGCATCTCCCTGAAACAGATGATGGTAGAGTAGCCTTGTGGTTAAAGCGGTTGCTCGTCACGCCGAAGACCCGGGTTCGATTCCCCACATGGGTACAATGTGTGAAGCCCATTTCTGGTGTCCCCCGCCGTGATATTGCTGGAGTATTGCTAAAAGCGGCGTAAAACCATACTCACTCGCACTGAAACAGATACATTCTAACACGGTTGTGTCGAAGGTTAACGGACCTCCACCGCCGTGGTACACAAACGCAAAATCCTGACTAAACAAGGAGTTATCGGGGACCAAACCTTTACTTCGAGTAAACCGTATATTCGACATATGAAAGTTCGACTCAAACGATGTTTAACTTTTCTTCGTCCTTCGGCCTGGAATTTGAGGTACGTAATCTCTTGTTATCAGTATTGAATATTGAGCTCTTCTACAAAGTCGAGTAGTCCTACAGTTCACAGATGAGTTTGTGCTTCACACACAGGCTTTTCTTCGTCCCCCGTCATGGAACGTTCAAAATCTCTCAATACAGACTCGTATTCTGGGCTGTTCTATTAAGACGCTGTGGACATACATATAATTTGATACTTGTAAATACCGAGAGAGACCTTGAAGCTGTGTAGTGTGTCCTCCTTGTACACACATAAACCCCTGGTGACAAGCACCTGAATATGCGATGTTTGATGTTTGCACTCTTTGTGCCGTGTGATGTTGCACACACACTATCTCAACATACCAAGTCTGTATAACCCGTAGGTACATTTTCATATATGACACACTGATTCTAACCCCTCGATAACTAGGGCACAGGTGACCCTGTTTTGGAAGGCTGCGTACAGTTGCCTCCCTTTGGTTGGTCTGGATCGTGTGTTCCAAGTTTTTCCTGATTTTGATTTTTGTGTTCGGATCAAAACTTCCTTCATGTGAATCAGTGTTACTCCACTTTAGGTCAAACCCCAAACAACATATTGCAGTCACTACCACCGTCACCAACGTTTCAGGCAACGTCATCCTCACCACTGAACCAACACCAGTCCGTTACTTCAATATTCATACTGTAAAATGTTGTCCCTGTACCACCGATGGTGGTTTGTTGGAATACAGAAATTGAATTTAAAATTGAATTATCAGCGCTAAAACGAACACAAAAAGAATCCATAGCGTGACAAAAAATGAATACGCTAAGCATTGTATATGTATTTTTTTCTATAACACATTTCAATTAATGAAAATGGGCAAGTTTTGCCCGGCATTTTATGAGCTACTGTATATATGTGACAGCCGCTCGAGGTTTATGGCTTAAAACTATACTGTATAGATATCGATTCGGTAGCAGTGTAGGTACGTTGTCCAATAACAGCGAGAGACAGCTGACACACTGTGTATTGCTGGTGTGTCTGCTGTAGTCACTGTCCGGGAGGAGTGGACCGCGAGTATCTGGACACTGGGCAGCGGTGATTTGGGTTGGCCTTCACCGAGTGGACGATAGTAAGTTGTAGGAAGGGTGATTGATGCTACCGGTGACAAGTGATGGCTTTGAAACAGGGGGAAGCCTACATAGATGGAGGGTGTATACCTTTAAGATTCAGGGGTCATAAACGGTCGGAGTATGAACCTACAATCCTCCAGATCCGGGCACACGGAACACAGCCATACTGAATGCCTCTTGTCGCTGGATCACAATGACTCGGATGTCAACGGACATAAGTGATTATATTATCACACCACTACTAACCTCTCATAAAACGCTCTCATCACATGATAGGATGTACCTGTACTTTCATTGATATGTTATCTGAATGTTTTTCAGTCTGTTCTTAACCTGGTCAATCTGATTCTGTGCCACTGCGAACTCATTGCTGTGCAACACTGATATCTTCGTGGCCTGTACATTGACCCTTGCGTGGATGACTTCAGCCTCGCATCAGGGGCAGTGGGGTAGCCTAGTGGTTAAAGCGTTGGCTCGTCACGCCGAAGACCCGGGTTCGAATCCCCACATGGGTACAATGTGTGAAACCCATTTTCTGGTGTCCCCCGCCGTGATGTTGCTGGAATATTGCTAAAAGCGGCGTAAAACCGAACTCAGTCAGTCAGTCAGCCTCGCATCAAGGGATTGTTTCAGTTATAGCGATTGATTTGTATAACTGTGCAAAGATGATTTTGCAAATATTTCTAATATTCAACAAACATGTCACTTTCCTTCATATAAATAACTATTTGTTTATTTACAGAATAACGACATCCCTGGGAAGAATGCAGGTAAACCTTGCACGACTCGCGGTATTTGCAGCAATAATTATAAATCGATTTAAGATAATACTGAAGACATGTCATCAACTGAAAGGCTGATATATAGTTAAATCTCTTCCTCATCTATGTGCTTCCTCATGACTTCCTCCCTAGCTATAGAGACATATATAACATATATTAACACTGTACATTCCATATATATCAGCAATGTTGATTATCAGCAGCGGCTGACACGCTAAGGTTGAGGTGATGATTGGCTATTTGCTGATCGATTTGTACTGCTATGTATGCTACTGTGAACGTGATGGTTGAGTGCAGTGTTGCAACCTCGAAAACATTTTAAATTTTTCACTTTTCAAGACCATTATATGATGGTGAGTGAGTTAGGTTTTACGCTGCATTTGGCGATATTCAAACAATATTACGGTGGGGACACCAGAAATGGGTTTTGGGGAATCGAAAGGGGTCTTAGGCGTGACGGGCGTACTCTTTAGCCACTAGACTTTCCCCGCCTTCTTTGTATGATAACATAGTATTTTGATGATCCAGTAGACTCGAGGGGCGACAATGGACTGCAGATGAAGATACACGCTGGGTCCGATGACACACAACAGCTGACCACGCCCCCTCCTGTTGCATCAGCTGAGGCTGGAGATGAAAATGTGGAGACCCGGGTATTCAAGAGGCGCTGGCTGATGCTGGGACTCTTCTGCCTCTACTCCTTCAGCAACTCCTTCCAATGGATCCACCTCAACATCATCGCCAACGTCATCCTGCGCTACTACAACACCAGCCTCCCAGGAGACACGCTGCAGCAAGAGACGGCCGTGGACTGGTTGTCTATGGTCTACATGCTGGCGTATGTACCGCTCGTCTTCCCTGCCACGTGGCTGATGGACAGTAAGGGGCTGAGGGTGTGTAACGTCGTGGGGTCGTTCCTCAACGCTGTGGGAGCGTGGGTCAAATGTGCCAGCGTCAGCCCTGACCGCTTTGGCGTCCTCATGTTTGCTCAGACTATCTGCTCAGTTGCTCAGATATGGGTTCTGGGTATGCCAGCGCCCCTAGCGGCGGCCTGGTTTGGCCCGAATGAAGTTTCGACAGCGACATCTTTAGGCGTCTTTGGAAATCAGGTAAGTCATCTTAAATCATGAACTACAAATTGACATTAAAACTATTCCACATTTTATACAGTGTATTTCCCCTCCATTCAGCATTGGGTGAGTGAATATCTTTTACGCTTTTATGCTCACGGCCGGAGATACCGGAAATAGGCTTCATACATTGAACCCACGCAGGAATGAACCCTGGCCTTTGGCGTGTCGAGCGAACGCATGAACCAGTATCCCCCTCTTCTGCCTCAAATACAGCAGTGATGTGATATGATGTGATGGGTTGTAATAGGTCTCTTTTGGCCCAAATACACCACCACCACCACCAACAGCTGCTGCTGCTGCTGCTACTACTACTACTACATGTACTACTACTACTACTACTACTACTACTCAACTACTTACTTTTACTTCTACAGCTACTGCTACTGTTGAGGTAAATGAGCTTACCATTTCATATTCCTAAGGAGACATTAAATGAAAGAATATAGGGTTAGTGTAAGGTCCAGCATCGCAGTTTGTTGCCATGACTACAACAGAAAGTCTACAGAACAAAACTTGTCCATTCACTCATCCAGGTAGGTGCAGCAGTTGGGTTCCTCCTCCCCCCAGTCCTCGTGCCCAACTCCCCCGACCTGGACCAGGTGGGCTGGGACATCAGCATCATGATGTACGTGACAGCAGGCGTGACGACGGCCATCTTTATTGCAATACTCATAGGTAAGCAACCGGATGTCCTCTTTGGGGATACAGCGTTACGACCCACTGACCCAAACTGTCCACCATTATACCAGTGCTGTCTTACACATTGACTCGATCACTTACCCAATCTCACCCGCTCATTCACCCAATCTCACCCGTTCATTCACCAAATCTCACCCGTTCATTCACCACAATCTCACCCGTTCATTCACCCAATCTCACCCGCTCATTCACCCAATCTCACCCAATGACTCACTCAGCCTGTCATCAACTCTTACAAATAATGTAAAAATAATCTGTATAATAATAATATGCTCTTAATCAATGATATATTTATGAAATATGATTCTTAAACGCTGAGACAAATATGCACCGTTTCCAGGGTAACGCATTGCTACGTGTAATTACTGCGAGACAAAAACTGCTAGTTTTGTCGACCCCCGGAGACCGGATAACTGGAAACAAAACCTCCATTGTGAAGGTTGTCAGTGATGTAAACAACCACGGATGTACTATGATGTTCCGGGTAGAAGAGGTGAGGTGAAATTGGGTTTAACGTCGTGCTTGAGAATATTTCGCTCATATGACGACCTGGTAGAAGAGTCGAGTAGAGGGTGACATCCTTTAATACTTACTGTCAACCCAACACCATATAGCTACTGCCCCACTAGCCTATGCCGATAATCTCTAGCCAACACTATGTCAGTACTGTCTGACCAACTCTATGTCAGTACTGTCTGACCAACTCTATGTCAGTACTGTCTGACCAACTCTGTCAGTACTGTCTGACCAACTCTGTCAGTACTGTCTGACCAACTCTATGTCAGTACTGTCTGACCAACTCTATGTCAGTACTGTCTGACCAACTCTATGTCAGTACTGTCTGACCAACTCTATGTCAGTACTGTCTGACCAACTCTGTCAGTACTGTCTGACCAACTCTATGTCAGTACTGTCTGACCAACTCTATGTCAGTACTGTCTGACCAACTCTATGTCAGTACTGTCTGACCAACTCTGTCAGTACTGTCTGACCAACTCTATGTCAGTACTGTCTGACCAACTCTTTGTCAGTACTGTCTGACCAACTCTGTGTCAGTACTGACTATCACTATGTCAGTACTGTCTGACCAACTCTATGTCAGTACTGTCTGACCAACTCTATGTCAGTACTGTCTGACCAACTCTATGTCAGTACTGTCTAACCAACTCTATGTCAGTACTGTCTGACCAACTCTATGTCAGTACTGTCTGACCAACTCTTTGTCAGTACTGTCTGACCAACTCTGTGTCAGTACTGACTATCACTATGTCTATGTCAGTACTGTCAGTACTGACCAACTCTGATGTCAGTACTGTCTGACCAACTCTATGTCAGTACTCTATGTCTGACCAACTCTTTGTCAGTACTGTCTGACCAACTCTTTGTCAGTACTATCTGACCAACTCTATGTCAGTACTGCCTGGTCAACTCTAAGTCAGTACTGTCTGACCAAAACTATGTCAGTACTGTCTGACCAAAACTATGTCAGTACTGTCTGACCAACTCTATGTCAGTACTGTCTGACCAACTCTATGTCAGTACTGTCTGACCAACTCTTTGTCAGTACTGTCTGACCAACTCTATGTCAGTACTGTCTAACCAACTCTATGTCAGTACTGTCTGGTCAACTCTATGTCAGTACTATCTGACCAACTCTATGTCAGTACTGTCTGACCAACTCTATGACAGTACTGTCTACACTACTAAGACAATCTGTGTATATAATGATGCTTGTGTGGTTCATGCGTAGCCAGAACATGGGACTCACCATATATATAAAACTTACATACAGATATAGAACCTGATGCACGGTCCTGTATAAAATCGTAGTCGCCATTAAAAAAGAGAATACAAAGCAAAGTTGTAAAGGAAGAGTAGCTGTGTCCAGGGGCTATTCGTTGTTCTTGTATCCAGTTGTCGTCTGCACCACTACAGGTTCCCCTACACAAATCAGCATCACATGCTCCCTAAGGAAGTAACGTACGTAACATCTGAAGAGATAGAGTGATTGGATGAAATAGTGCAAGATGTTTATGTTTTAAAAAAGCAATCAATCCAGTAATTAAAACTGACCACGATTTTAAGTAGTTAGTGCTGTCATTTTTAACACCGGGTCTTTATGCTTAATGGGTGTACATATATTTTTAAGTAGGTGACATTTGGTGCGGAACTGGGGTTGATGTGTTCAGCTTCCTGTGCTCGGAAAATTGGCAGGATACGTTAGCCGGAATTTGTGTTTTTATTGTAGTTTAAAGGCCAGTCTCTACTCATGTGTACATGGAATGGCTATTGACAGCCTGGATGATTTTCAGAAAAATATAACGCTACTATAGAAGTCAATGGGAAAACATTTGGTGTTGTGTAACCTGTACCAGCTCCTGGCATGGATCAGACTTCAGCCCCGTGATTGGCATTTCTCAGTGTTTTACTGTGTGCAGCCTCCATTATCAAGGGTAGAGGTTCTCTGATCGCCACCCTTGACAAATACAGGGATAACCGAAAAGAAATTACATTTAAAAAGTAGTGAAAGATACTAGTTTCTTGTATGATAATTACGAACGAATCGGGAACACGTTACTGCCAACAGCTAGTAGAGTATGACAGGATAATAACAATAATATGGACATTTGTAGAGCGCAGTAGTAACTCTACACCTCAAGGGCATGCTCTTTGCGCAACAGTAGATATGTACACTATATACAGGAAGAAGTTTTATAAGATTTAGTTGTAGTTGAACAAGAATGTTTTGAGTCTTGATTTAAAGATGGAGATGGAAGGAGATGACTTGACATGGAGAGGTAGTGAGTTCCAGAGGGAAGCTGAGTGAACGCTGAAAGATCTGCCGCCAAAAGTTTGCAACTTATATTTTGGGACACTGAGAAGACCTTTGTCTTGAGATCTGAGAGACCACGCTGGTGTGTAGGGTGTTGTAAGATCTTGCATGTAGGAGGGCGATGAACAGTTTAGTGCTGGATATGTTATAATCGCCCACTATCTTGAAGGACATCAGGGGTAGGATTCGAAATGGTAGAGGTTTTGGAGTAAAGTCTTGCAGTATACCGTAACAAATATCGCACATTCGTTAACAAGGTACACTGTGTACGAGTCTACAAATGTCGAGTTGAGGTAGTCTTCCTCACTCTTCTTGCCCACGTTCAGCTAAAACGATTTGCGTCCTTTGGCCCCATCGTGTGCTGTGTGGGAAAGCTCGGGGCTCATGAATGGCGAGCACATTCTATGGATGTCGTGCTGCTGGAGGTAGCTCAACAGTGAGGATTAACGCACGGTGAGGGCAGGGGTAGTCGTCCTGAAAGAAGGTCCATCCACATGCCTTGTAAACGGGACAACAAACAAAGAGTGATGGCATGTTGTCCCGATTGTACCTTCCAGTGAGAGTACAACGAGGATTCGCTGAGTCACGGGGATGCTACCCTACGTTATAACCGATATTTCCAGGAGACACTGACATCGATTTCGACTTCGATATGACCTCGCATATCAAGGACGTTCAAATAGACAGTATGACATGGGGACAGCGACGGTTATCTAAGTTTCGACGTTCTGTTTAACGTAAATGTACGTTGGCAATATGGCGATTTGTAAGGGGTGGCACAACACGTGATCGTCGAGTATGGCGATTATCAGCAGGTAGACAATTTTAATCGCCTGACACTGAATCGTATTGTAGATTACAGCAATCTGATTCCCGTTTGAGCGAAGCGAACCTGTTCTGTTGTCGTTGGCGATTGGAAATATTATGGGTTTCTTCGTACCTGTTTTAAAGTTTCTTCATCTCTGAATAGCATAGCCACTGCAGGGTCACGTCTACCAGTTTCAAGCATGCTAACAACCCACATTGCTAGTAGACAGAAAAAATTATCCATTGAGATCAATCCAATTCCGTGAAAGTGTTAAAACCAGGAATGGCACCATACCCATCTTGGGCTACTGCGTCTTGACACCAGCAACCAATCGGATAGCTTCTGGTGCTAAATGTAGACACACACGTTCTTGCATTGTCGTCTAAACCGATCTTTATTCTTCTAATATTTGGTATTAACATTTATATTACATAATTCCCCACACTTAGTTTGTATGTATTTTATATCAATATATCAGGTAAATCGTTACAACAGCTTTGCTTAATTCAAGTATCATCGCTAATGAGTAGGGGGAGTTCCATGGCGGCCATGCCTGTGTTACTAAAATTGGAAAACTATTTTGTCAGAATAATGTGACAAAAGACATGTTTTGTGCGTATTCATGTCTGGCATGAAAAGTTTTCCTTCATGTATAGTGTTAGTGATGGGAGTACAGCGGTGACGTCACTTTCTATAGGCTCCAGGGTATTTATCGTACAGAGTTGATGGAGCGTGTGTAGCATGTCAGCTGTATGTACTGAAGGACCAAAGACTGTAGTAAGACGACAGATGTGGACAACTGTTGGGTGTGTTGAGTATTTGGAGCCTTCCCATGGATAGTTGTCTCAGTACTTGAGAACCGAATTCACTAGACTATTCCGACACATGGTACCATTGACACACCGTGTAGCATATTATGTGAGTAAACGTTGAATGTGTGACGGGGCTTAAACTCCTCCTATAGTAACACTCGGAAGATTTGCTAGTGCACTGAAAGTGGATCGTTCTGTTTGGCGCTGTGTGTAACCAAATACCGGTTTCCTATCAGTACATCTCTTATCTGCATCAATGATCCGCATCTGTTATTATTCTGATGTTTCTTCGAGAAACCGCCATTGTTGCTTTCACACGACTACCCGGAACATCAAACTACATGTGCTACTTCATGTACAACTTTCACAATGGATATTTTTGTCCGCTCAGGGCTTTCTGTTTCCGACTTGGAAGATTAGCAATAATTGTTGTTTCATTGTTGTGTTCGGCCAAAGTTAGAACTGTCTATGTATTGTTTGAGCGTTCAAGACTCATGTTTCATAAATCTTATATGAACGGTAGACTCTTAATGATTTGAGTGGATATTGAGAGAATGACTGACTTGATTTGTTGAGTGAGTGAGTGAGTGAGTGAATATACATATTGAAAGTTTAAGGTATAAGGACTAAATTCGCCCTCAGATATCTGCGTAAAAGCGTCGTATCAAATAGTGTAAGTAAAGTTAGGCTCAGTATATTTATTATTCGTTACACTGCTTATACTGAGTCTAACAAACCCTAGAAGAAGGTCGCGACAGCTAACCTTTTAAATTGACCAATCAGAACACAGCTTACCAAATCGCGAAAGTTGACATTCGCACATACATTTTGAACTTTTACCTCGAAAAAGTTTGTTTACGAATGCTATTTTCCGTACGATCGGTTCGGAGTGATGCACAAGGAGCATGCCACAACCGTGAGTAAACGGTTGCTGAAAATAGCGTTTTTGTCAATATTCAAGGATGTTAGCTCGTGGAAATATACTAGGCAGCAAAAGAAACGTCAGTTTGGAATTTTCCTTCGCAGAAACGGATAACTGTAAACTCATTGAATGTTTTGATTGTTTATTTTTGACAACATCTCCAACTTTACTTGAGTAAAGACATTCCTTCCCAAACTCAGAATGGAACCCAGGAAATAGTCTCAAATACGCAACCGGATCTCGGAGATGGTACGGTGTCCTCCATGTTTTTCATGCAACTCATGCTGCACGTGCACAAGGACCAGCCCTATCAAATGCACCACCAAACCTGGTTGAAACATTCACATTACAACGTCAGCAGGATGCCGCGACTCACGACAGCTCAGAGGAACCAGGCGCTAGAAAGACTTGAAGCTGGCCACACTGCACAAGCCGCTGCCAATCCCTTCCAGGTCAACGTTCGGACCATCTACAGGCTGCAGCAACGTTTCCGGGTCACTAACAGCACAAATAATCGACCCGTACTGGCAGATCAAGGGTGACCACAAGACGACAAGACCGCCATGTTGTGCGACAGTATGTACAGGATGCCTTCATACAGGCATCCGAAACAGCACGCCAGACAGTGGGAACACACGGAAGACCAATCAGTACTGATACAGTAGGCCGACGTCTTAACAGAGGGAACCTCGATTGCCGTAGACCTTATCGTGGACCTATCCTCACCCCTCGTCATCGGCGTGAACGTCTACAATTTGCCCTACAACACCAAAACTGGTGATACAGGCAATGGAGAACTGTTCTGTTCACAGATGAGAGTCGGTACTGCGTATCAACTACAGATGGCAGAACAAGAATATGGCGACGACGTGGCCAGAGTTACTCAGACCAATGTGTTATGGAAAGAGACTCATGTTGAGGTGCAAGCATAATGGTATGGGGTGGAGTGGGTCATGTGGTGTTCCAGAACCAGGGAGAGGAGGCGGCATCACAGCGGTGCGCTACATCGACCAAGCTCTCAGACCCCACGTCATACCACATTTCGCACGTCACCGGAACAACATTTTCCATCATGATAACGCCCGGGCCCATACAGCCAGAGCTACACGGGACTTCCTACAGCAGAACGGTGTCAACATTATACAGTGGCCAGCCCTTAGTCCTGATTTAAACCCAATTGAACATCTTTGGGATGAAATTGAATAATGTCATACCAAGGCCGAACACAGCCGATTTATTGCGCCAGGCCTTTCTCAGAGTGTGGTTCCAGGTGCCAATGGCCTTCATCAATCGATTGTTGCACTCCTTGCATAGAAGCTGTGCTGCAGTTATTGCCGCTCGTGGTGGTCACACTAGATACTGAAGTGGTTTAGCCTGATGGTTAAAGCGTCCGCTCGTGACGCCGAAAACCCGGGTTCGATTCCCCACATAGGCACTTGGACTCATACTGTGCGAAATGTGTGATCGAGGCCAGCCGCAGTGGTCGGCCTTGGTTGGAGGTCATTCAGTCTTCTTGAATCTCCTTCCAAAGGTGTTCTATTGGATTTACATCTGGAGTGAGTGCAGGCTATTGTAGGGTTTGGATGCCATGTTGCCTGAGGAAGTCTACTCTTGCTCTGGCAGTGTGGGCACGAGCGTTGTCTTGCTGGGAGATATGATTTCTGTAACGACCAAAATGTGGTACAAGGTGGGGTCTTATGACTTGGTCAGTATAGCGAGCAGCTGTCACGCCATTTCCTCATTCTGGACCACGATTCTGGAATACCACAGAATCAACTAACTGGTTCAGACCGATTGCACCCCGACGCCATGATGCCTGGACCAAACCACGAGTCTCTTTCAACAATACCCTCATTGGAAAACAGTTCCCCACGCCTTCACCGTACTCTCACTCTGCCATCGACTGTCGAAACACAATTTCGGCTTTCATGAGATAAAAGCACAGTTCTCCATTGTCGATAACGCCAATTCCCATGCCTATTGCCCATCGGTTTTGGCGGTGATGAGCGGGGAGGACATGACTACGATATGGTCTGTGACAGCAGAGGTTTCTTCCGCGCAAACGTCGATGCACTGTATCGGCACTGATGGGTGCTGTTTCCGTCGCTCTGGGGAAGCGATCCTGCAGATAGTTGCGCACAATCTGTCAGTCTTGATGTTGTGATGTTACTGGAGGTCGCCCAAAGCGTGGACGGTCTTGGATGCTGTTAGTGACCTGATACCACACCTGCTGTCGGTGGATCCTAACATGAACATTAAAATGATTGGCTACCCTCTGTGTAGTCTGGACAACTTGCAATCGTCCCAAGACTTGGTTCCTCTGATCTCTCGTAAGTCGTGGCATGGTGATTGTGTCAAAACAAAATGATTTCAGGCGTGTTTGAAACTCGCTTTCATTGGTAGGGTTGTCACGAGATGCACGTGCATTTCATTTTCACGAATGCCATACGGAACCTTTTACCATGTCTGCCTTTTTCGGTGCGTTTGGTCGATATGCTTTTTCTTCAGAAAACACGCTGATGTTGGTAATAACTGTCAGTTTGGATTGAACAACATGTTACCAACACGGTACAATCATAATGCAAACACCATCTTGTAAGAACAAAATTTTGCATTTGGTTTTGAAAGGCGACGTTTCTTTTGTGGTTCAGTATATATGATGACCTTTTTTTAAGATGAATATTATAAGTTGTTCATTGGTCGGGGGTGGGGTGGGGGTGGGTGGTGGGGTGTGATGTACCTTGACGACAGATGTTTGTTTCAACAAATTGTTAAACGAGGAAACATCGGGGGTACATCAACCCATGGGCCTCGAGGGACCAGCGAACAACGTATTTATCTTACCGATCACACCAATGGTTATTTTGAACTGTTTGAAGTACGGGTATCGAATCATAGTATGGAGTACCAGACTACAGGACGACAAGAAAAACAAATTTAGAGTTATCTCCCTTCCGTCGATTAGCATTCGCAAAACATCGGTAATTTCCGTACATCATACGTGATTCAATGTTATTCGAAATAAAGAATTGCTACTACGAAGTACCAATTGAGTTCGGCATTCCCAGCGGGGTACATAGAAAATGTTACTCGCTTGTAAGCGGGGTACATTGAAAATGATAGAAGAGTGCTCAGCCAATCAGAAAACGACATTTATGTGTGAAGCAAGATAATATTCATTTTCTGATGTTTTTGTGTCGACATTTCCGTAGGTTAAAATTTACATCCGCACTTACATACGGTGTTGAGTACCATTGATTTCTATGTCATCTTCGAGGCTGAAAAATTAGCTAGCGTTGCACTGTTCATGTGAATAATAGTTATTTCCTGAAATCGTTCAAAGACGTTTTGGAGCGGGCAACCAAGTCAATTGTGACAGTAATTATCAAATATTTTCAAGAAAAATACTAATTTATTGTCCTCTCTATACGCAGGGTACAGAGACAAACCACCCGTCCCCCCGAGTCGGGCACAGCTAGTTGCTATCCAGACGACGGAGGGGCAGAATTATCTTTCATCACTCGGGCGGCTCATTAAGACTCTCCCTTTCGTCGTCCTCGTCATATCCTATGGTGAGATAACATGACGTCATTGCTAGATGTCTATATCAAATATGACGTCATTGCTAGATGTATTACTAGAAACCTTCATCACACATGACGTCATTGCCAGATGTCTACATCACGCATGACGTCATTGTTTGATGTCAAGATGACACATGACGTCATTTCTAGATGTATTGCTTGATGTCCATATCACACACGGCATTGTCAGATGTCAATGTATCACACATGGCGTCATTGATATACGTCTATGTCACACATGGCGTCATTGCTAGATGTCTATATCACACATGGCGTCATTGCTAGATGTCTATATCCCACATGACGACATTGCTAGATGTCATATCACATATGGCGTCATTGCTAGATGTCTAAATTACACATGACGACATTGCTAGATGTCTATATGACACATGACGACATTGCTAAATGTCTATATCACACATGGCCACATTGCTAAAATGTCTATATCACACATGGCGTCATTGCCAAATGTCTATATCACACATGGCCACATTGCTAAATGTCTATATCACACATGGCGACATTGCTAAATGTCTATATCACACATGGCCACATTGCTAAATGTCTATATCACACATGGCCACATTGCTAAATGTCTATATCACACATGGCGTCATTGCTAAATGTCTATATCACACATGGCCACATTGCTAAATGTCTATATCACACATGGCCACATTGCTAAATGTCTATATCACACATGGCGTCATTGCTAAATGTCTATATCACACATGGCGTCATTGCTAAATGTCTATATCACACATGACGACATTGCTAGATGTCTATAACACACATGACGACATTGCTAGATGTCTATATCACACATGGCGACATTGCTAGATGTCTATATCACACATGGCGTCATTGCTAAATGTCTATATCACACATGGCGTCATTGCTAAATGTCTATATCACACATGGCCACATTGCTAAATGTCTATATCACACATGGCGTCATTGCTAAATGTCTATATCACACATGGCCACATTGCTAAATGTCTATATCACACATGGCCACATTGCTAAATGTCTATATCACACATGGCCACATTGCTAAATGTCTATATCACACATGGCGTCATTGCCAAATGTCTATATCATACATGGCCACATTGCTAAATGTCTATATCACACATGGCCACATTGCTAAATGTCTATATCACACATGGCCACATTGCTAAATGTCTATATCACACATGGCGACATTGCTAGATGTCTATATCATACATGGCCACATTGCTAAATGTCTATATCACACATGGCGTCATTCCTAAATGTCTATATCACACATGGCGTCAGTGCTAGATGTCTGTATCACACATGACCACGTTGCTAGACATTAATAGACACCTGCATCTCATATGAAGACATATTTGGCAAGATGTTTATCTCGATGTTTGTCAACATAAATTAATTCGTGTACACCTTCAACAAGGGAAGTAACTCCTCTCGTCATATTACTCATATGGGAAGGAGGGCACAGGATAGTATTTTTCTTGTAAGTCCCCAGGGAGGTTACACCTTTTGGTGAACGTTGAATGGTTCTTTCAGAAAATAAACAGCCACACGCGTAGGAATATGGGGATTCCCCACATCGCGGATTTCCTAAAAGGGAAACTGCTGTTTTGATTTTAACGTTTATTAGATCGAAAACTGATATGGGTAATAAAAACAATAACCAGCTCGTGACTGGGAATGACAGAATATATTTCCCTCGTTATGTTAATTATGTGATTACGTAATTAATATTACTCGGGAAAGATAATCTGTTATTCCCCTTCAGTCGTTAGTTATCGTATAAATGTAGTGTGGTCCATGCAGTATATGTGCGGGATACGTGCCCTGACGAGCCCTCCCACGATCTTTGTTTCATATAGAGTTGCACAGCAAAAAGTGCGAAACTGTATGAAACCATATGAAACTAACAATCATTCAACACACGCAAACGCATTGGTGTTTTTCAGGAGTGAACGTCGGCTGCTATTACGCCATTGCTACTCTGCTGAATGCTGTCGTGCTGGAATACTTCCCCGTGAGTATAGGGCTGACATGCAGCGTATAAGTGATGTGGGGATATGCAGCAAACAGATACAGTGAAATAGTGATATATGAACATGAAGTGAATACTTGATGCGAATATCTGCAGTGAATGCATGATGCAAATATCTGCAGTGAATGCATGATGCAAGTATATGCAGTGAATACATGATGCGAATATATGCAGTGAATGCATGATGCAAATATCTGCTGCGAATGTATGATGCAAGTATATGCAGTGAATACATGATGCGAATATCTGCAGTGAATGCATGATGCAAGTATATGCAGTGAATACCTGATGCGAATATATGCAGTGAATGCATGATACAAATATCTGCAGTGAATGCAAATGATGAATGCAATGCAAGTATATGCAGTGAATACATGATGCGAATGCGAATATCTGCAAATGAATGAATGCATGATGCAAATATCTGCAGTGAATGCATGATGCAAATATATGCAGTGAATGCATGATGCGAATATATGCATAATGCAGACGAATACAAGATGCGAAAAATATGCAGTAAACACATGCAGCTAAAACATAATGTAAATACCGACATGCAGCTAATGCATAATGTGAATTGGTGAAGCAGTTACATGATATGACAACATGCACCAACTACATGATCTGTATCAATGATGTGCTGCGAATGCAGACATGGAAGACGCGTTGTCAATAAATGCTGTGAGTACATGCTTACGAATTTATGACGCGAAAACGTGCGGAGAATTATGATGTGAATACAGAAAATGAATACATATATCAAATACATGCGGTGAATATATGGTGCGAATGTATTCATTTAAGACATGATCTTCATTCCTGCATAGCTTATGTAATATGAACACATGTAGTGAATACAAATGTAAAGATATATTACTAGTGAATGCATATAGCGAATATGATGTGAATGTATTCAGTGAATACATGCAGTGAATGCGTGATGCTGACACATGCAGGCGAACACATGCAGCGATGAGTGAGTGAGTGCTTGTAGCAATATTCCAGCAAAATCACGGCGGGGGACACCTGAAATAGGCTTCACACATTGTACCCATTGGGGGAATTGAACCCGGATCCTCGGCGTGACGAGCGAATGCTCTAACCACTAGGCTACCCCACCTTCATGCAGCGATGAGATGATGCAACTACATCCAGTGAATACATGTACACGATGTAAATATATGTGAATACCTAGTGTGAATGTGTGATGTGAATACCTATTGTGAATATGTGATGTGAATACCTATTGTGAATATATGATGTGAATATCTATTGTGAATATGTGATGTGAATACCTAGTGTGAATATGTGATGTGAATATCTATTGTGAATATGTGATGTGAATACCTACTGTGAATGTGTGATGTGAATACCCATTGTGAATATATGATGTGAATATCTATTGTGAATATGTGATGTGAATACCTAGTGTGAATGTGTTATGTGAATACCCATTGTGAATATATGATGTGAATATGTGATGAATATGTGATGTGAATACCTAGTGTGAATGTGTGATGTGAATACCTATTGTGAATATGTGATGTGAATACCTAGTGTGAATGTGTGATGTGAATATCTATTGTGAATGTGTGATGTGAATACCTAGTGTGAATGTGTGATGTGAATACCTAGTGTGAATATATGATGTGAATACCTATTGTGATTATGTGATGTGAATACCTATTGTGAATATGTGATGTGAATACCTATTGTGAATATGATGTGAATACCTATTGTGAATGCCTAGTGTGAATATGTGATGTGAATACAGACAGTGAATATGTGATCTGACTACATACAGTCAATATGTAATGTGAATGCCTGCATTTAACACATACTGCGAAAACCTTCAGTAGTAATATGCAGCAAAATGTAACATATATATTTGCTGTGAATACATGCACTGAACACAGGCAGCGACTACTTGATGTGATATTCAGCCCTGTACAGCATTATCATTCGTAGTTGTTATCTTTATATGTCGTCTGCAACTTGTATATCTCTCGTCTGCTGTATTGATGTCGTCTGAGACAACATCTCGACAAACTGCGTGTTACATCTACGCCGCAGTCTGTCAGGATTTTAACATCCTGGTTATTTTTCTCAATAATCTGATATTGTCGGAAATGTTCTTTTGTTATGGTAGCGGTTGGGTAGCCCAACAGTCCGGGCGTCACCTCGCTACACTTAAAAGTCCGGGTTTAGTTACCAACATGGGCAAAATAAACTAGCGTCCAAAAGAAACTCCACCAAACAGTATTCTTCACTAAAACACAACAAAAGCAAATTATGGTAACAAGAGGTGTTGTATTGTAAAACACAATCATTCAGCAACAGTTCTTGAAACTTTTCAGTTAGAAAAACGAAACAGTTCGTGTTCTGAAGGCACATGGATGACACAGGGGTGCAGTGTCCAGTATTCGATCGCCAACGCTTAAAGGTCTGTCCTGAACAACACAGATGATTCAGTATCGTATGTGGTCACCCGTAGCAGTAATGCAGGCTCTAACGCGGCGTCGAACTGAGTATGTGAGCCTTCTGACGTCATCGTTAGGAATTCGGCGCCATTCTTCTTGCAGGGCAACTGCCAAAGCGTCCCTTGTCAATGGCGGCTGTTGACGTTTCCGAATACGTTGCCCCAGTTGGTCCCAGAGGTATTCGATTGGAGACAGATCGGGTGATCGCTGGCCACTGTCCGAGTCACTAGTGATCCGTTGCGTTGTCCTGTTGAAACAGAGTCCTGGTCGTTGCAGGTAAGGCAGCACCACAGGCCGTAAACTCTCGAACGACGTTGAGATTACCGTCGAGATCCAGTTCCGCCCCAGACCATAACGCTAATGCTCCACTTCTTGCAAGCACCGTCCGTTCGCCCCGACGTCGGTAGATTCGAACACGACCGTCAGATTTGAAGAGCTGGAACCTGCCGTCACTGAAGAGCACTTTTCGCCAGTTTCGCTGCTGCCACTGCATTACGGTCTTGGCCCACCTCAATCTGGCACGTCGGTGTCGGGGCGTTAACGTCATGCCCTTGAAAGGTCGATAGGCATGAATACCATGCTGAAGGAGTCGTCTTGCTACGGCCTGTCTGCTGACTGCATGTCCAAGGCTATTGGCGCTTGATGACGTCACAGTGAGGTAGCGGTTTTTCAGATGAAGCACCCGTTAATATCGATCTTCCTGTGGGGTCGTGACCTTAGGTCTGCCACTCCTTGTACTGCCAGTCTGTCTGTCACGTGTGACAAGCCTGGCGATGGTGGACTTGCAGCATCCCATGATCCTGGCCACGTGCTCCTGTGTTGCGCCCATCTGAAGCATACGAATTGCTCTTTCCCTCTGTTCTTTTGTCAATCGAGGCATGTTAGCTGCTTTCAATCGAGTCACATGATCAGAGAGAACAAATCTCGTCAGGTTTTACAACTTCATGTCATACGGGTAACTTTGTGCACAATTTCCATTTTTTCTGTGCGAATTCATTTAACTCACCAATCATCAAAATCTCTGGGAATAGACAGGTTGCGTTCGAGGGATGTGTTTTCAGCCGTTTTTCAGCACATTGGCAATTATTTTGACAATTTATGATAATTTTTATTTTGGTGGCGTTTCTTTAGGACGCTAGTTTATAAGCGTTTCTGGCACACTTGAGTGCAGTGAGATGGAGGGAGCGTCAAGCACGATTCATTCACATGTCCTGAATGAACATTGTCTATAAAATCTTTGTTACACAATACTTTCATCCACTATGAGTGAGTGAGTGAGTGTGAGTTTAGTTTTATGCCGCACTCAGCAATATTCCAGCTATATGGCGGCGGTCTGTAAATAATCGAGTCTGGACCAGACAATTCAGTGATCAACAGCATGAGCATCGATCTGCGCAATTGGGAACCGATGACATGTGTCAACCAAGCCAGCGAGCCTGACCACCCGATCCCGTTAGCCGCCTCTTACGACAGCCATGGGTTGCTGAAGGTACAATTTAACCCGGACCTTCACGGGTTTCATCCACTATGAGATGTTTCCTGATGTTCGTGTGGACGAGAGCTGGCTAGGTCTGCTGTTGTTTAGTCAACTCGCCGCGAATAGATGTAGAACTGCTGATGTGGCGTTATGCAATACTCACTCACTCACTCATATAGTCAAACACCGTTGTTACATATTTGATGTGTGGAACATTCGGTTGTCTAGAAGTACAAACCTGATCCCTACGTATTCCTTGTTACTCATCATTTTCCGGTTGCGCCGAACGTCGGATAACTCGAAGTATTTACGTAGATCAGGATGGTTTTTGATTAAAGAAAACATCATGTATTATATTCTACTTGTTCGTACCTTGCTATAAACAGACAGGCGTTGATTTCAGGGAGAAGAGGTGAACGCAGGGAGGATTGGCCTCACAATTGTTATAACAGGGATAATTGGGGCCGTCTTGGCCGGGATTTGGCTGGATAAAACAAGAACATTCAAGTAAGCAATGGTGCACGACGATACTGGAAACGATGAAAAACCCTTCTCTGCATGTCTGCCCCGCCCAGTTCCTGTCAACAGGATGTATTTCCCTGTCATGGGTGCTTTTGGGCTCATTCTTCCCTTCTGGTTTTCGCATTTTGAAAGGAGAGCACTAACTGGGTCCAAAATTGCCGAACATGATTTCAGGGCAGATCCAGATGTGTAATCCTAGGAAGCATCTGTAAGATACAAAGACATTCGTGTTATAAATTATAACATGCACACAATATTTATGTTATTTATTCAATATGTAAGACTTGTCTTCCCGGAATATCAACAAATGTTCCACAAATTGTAGGAGACAGTTCATGTTTTATCAACTTGTTTTAACACTTTCAGGGGCACATCACTGGGTATTTACTTCATGTCCATGGCGTGTATGGTGGTGTTCACCTTCACCATGGATACAGGGCACATCTGGGTGGTGTTCATCACGGCTGGGTCCTTTGGGTAGGTATTCAACATTCTGGTTGTTACCTTCTGCTTTAAGTTTCAAAGCACTATTGATACTACATCAGACCAAAGCGATCCTTACTGATTAGACAAATAATATGCCTTGAAAAGCGAACAGCTGTCAGGCGTTTCTTTCAGCAAAGGTGTTTAATCGCGAATTGTAACAAACATCAGTTTTGATTAAATATGAAAAAAACCTCTACTTAACTAGATGTGAATGAACTATTCCTGATATGACACTTGAGTTTAATTTAAGTATGTGAGTTTCACTCGAGTATATGCCACATACCATGTTTGACTGCAAGTATATCAAGTCCAACCCCAGTTGCCGTATTATGCTCTAGAAGGTGAACTGTCCTATTACCATCCCATGATACTGAATTCACTACTAGAAAGATATTTCTTATACCGAAGGAGACAGCACATATTACCTGTGTTTTAGTAGCAGACAGGACCAAAGGTAAAGGGGGTAGAATAGGTCTTCAGCATCCCATGCTTGCTACAAAAGGCGACTATGCTTGTCGTAAGTATGGTGGCTGATTAGGGCTTTCTCGCCTCCGCTTTCTCGCCTCCGAATTTTAAGACGAGAAAGCGATGGCCCTAATCAGCCACTATACGTAAGAGGTGACTAACGGGATCGGGTGGTCAGGCTCGCTGACTTGGTTAGCACATGTCATCGGTTCCCAATTGCGCAGATCGATGCTCATGCTGTTGATCACTGGATTGTTTGGTCCAGACTCAATTATGTACAGACCGCCGCCATAAAGCTGGAATATTGCTGAGTGCGGCGTAAAACTAAACTCACTCACTCACTCACGTCTCGAGTACTTTTGACTACTCCCTCCAATCTCTGTTCATAGATTCTTCATGACTGGCTACCTACCTGTCGGCTTCGAGTTTGCAGCTGAGCTCACGTTTCCCGAACCAGAAGGAACATCCTCCGGACTTCTAAACGCGTCAGCACAGGTCTGTGTTCTTCTGAACTCAGACATCCACATGTTATATTTGGGATCACACCTTCTCAGTAAAGTACAACCCAAAGAGGTACTAGAATCTGTACTTTACTGAGAAAGTGTAATCCCAAATACAACATGTGTTTCATGTGACCACTTTTTAAATGGCGTTGTGTATTCATTAGCCTATTGACCTACTGTTCTGTAACCTATTGTAAATGCTGACAGTATTTGTTGCGATATATCGAACTAACTGACTATTCGTCTTACAGTAGAATATGTCTAACCTCAAAGTCAGCTGAACTATTTGACCCTCGTCAGATCATCATTTTCGTCATTTGCCGTTAATATAATACATGGCAATTTGTTATGGCAGATTTTTGGAATAATCTTCACCCTGGGCATGCGAGCCATGATGAACAGACTGAGTGTCCTTGGTGCCAACATTGCCGTCTGTGTTGCGCTTCTGCTAGGGACAGTGCTTACAGGTAAGGAGACAAGTCCATTCCATTTGCTGCTAGAAACGGTGCTTACAGGTAAGTGGACAACTCCATTCCGGTTCCTTTAGGTTATTACAGGTAAGTGGACAACTTCATTCCGGTTCCTTTAGGTTATTACAGGTAAGTGGACAAATCAACTCCGGTTCCTTTAGGTTATTACAGGTAAGTGGACAACTTCATTCCGGTTCCGTTAGGTTATTACAGGTAAGTGGACAAATCAACTCCGGTTCCTTTAGGTTATTACAGGTAAGTGGACAAATCAACTCCGGTTCCTTTAGGTTATTACAGGTAAGTGGACAACTCAATTCCGGTTCCTTCAAGGAACGGTGCTTACAGGTAAGTGGACGACTCCATTCCAGTGCCACAGGGACTGTGATACCCCCATAACCGGGTAATAATTTAAAGTTTTTGCTCGGCATAAATTGAAGGATAGTTACACATTGTGCTTCTTCGTGTTGGAGGCACTGGGCTTTATGTTACACAGCATTTGGCTGGGGCTTCCAAACCGGAAGTCATAGAGCGGAAGTACATATAACTTTCTTATCAAGGTAGCAAGATAACAGGGTCTGATACATATGATGCGGAAATCTGTAAAACATATTTTCTTTGGCAATGAAATGAATAACGCACAGGAAACAAAGTTTCATGTTTTAAGTTTTATTTTTCTGAAATGATAATATGCTTCTCAGATACTAGTTTTGATTAAAATTTACATCATATTATATATTCAGGGCAAATGAAAAATACCATAAAAGGCAAACATATTATCTTCAGTGGCGTCCTGAGAGAGTATCACCAAGGTAAACGGGATGAGGTGATGATGATTATTGGTATATTTGTTTGGATGTTTAAAATACACACATTAAGTGACATATCCTTTGCGTAATAATAAGGGCAGAATATTGTGTTCATTTCATGTCCAAATTAGAGGGTCTCAAAATGAAGACGGTGCATAAGTTAATTCCGAGAATGGTTCATTTGCACATGCAGTCAATTATTGAGTTATGATTATAAAATCGAACCCGATCTTCAGCGTGACAATTTAACCATTAGGCTAGCCCACCGTCTCGCGCATTCAGCGGTGCGGTGCCTAGTGGTTAAAGCGTTCGCTCGTCACGCCGAAGACATATGGGTACAATGTGTGAAACCCGTTTCTGGTTTCCCCCGCCAAGATATTGCTGGAATATTGCTAAAAGCGGCGTAAAACTAAACTCACTCGCATTCAGCAATATTACAGCTGTACGGCGTGGCCAGTACACAGCCGAGTCTGGACCAGGCAATCCAATGACACCTCAACCTAATCTGGCACATTCTTCACGGTATGTTGTTTATCAATATGGATTCATAAAGAATGTCATGTAAGTGTTACATGAGTTTAATCAGTGGCCGGAGACGTAACGTACAGTACACTTCTTTTGGACTGACGGAACTTAAACAAAGATATTGGTATCAGAATTGGTGTGTATTGTAGAGACAATGGTGACGTAGGGGGCGCTTTTCCAGCAGGAATGCAACTGTTATGCCACCTCGTTTTAATTTTTCAGCCTTGATTCGAGCCAACTACAAACGCCAGGCGGCTGGAGGAGAAGAAAAGGTAGGTAGTACTGATTCCACAGATATTTGTCAAAACTCGCTTCCAAAATGTGCCCTTCCGTGTTTATGAATGATGGCTGACCCAGTGCAAAAGTGTCAACACGCTTCTTTTCTTTTCTTGTTTTTCTTTTTTTTCATGTCACTGAACTTTTATCTCTTATTGTAGAATAGGTTTTCGTCATATTATAGTTTGTGATCAGACAATGAACGCCTTTAAAACTAGTCCTTGTAATTTTGATCTAGAAAGTAACGGATTTCCAGGCATAACATTTTTTATCTTTATGTTTCCAGGGCAACCGGCTACGGGAGTTGTTTGGCTGGTGCTGCTGCTTCAGACACAAATTAGACATCTCAAACAAACAATGATAACAATCAGCCTCGATCTGACAATCTCCTTCACTGTAACCAAGAACAACCTTCACTGTAACCAAGGGCAGTTTTCATAAAACAAACGTCCTTCATTAAAGTCAAATTAGGCAAAACATTACCCATGTTCTGAAAAGGTCACTGATCTGAACAGAAGGTCATCTGTTCCATGAACTGAAACAACAGTAGTTAACACGGTTGTAGGAAGTGATAACAAGGCTTCAAGATTCACCGGGACGGATGACGTTCATCCAGGAAAGTGAGGGTATCGCTCCTATAGCCTACATGCAATGAGAACATGAGACATTACCTTATTGACACGAATTGTCGTGCCCGTAGCCCTTTTCTCTAATGTTTTTGTTGGAAGTAAAACTTCTTGTGAATGATCTTGTATCTTGCTGAATTTTAGTCCGATTTAAACAAAGCCTGTAACGTCTTACTTCCTTCTCAGAGGAACTTCGGATCCTGATGGTTGTATTGTGATGTATATATGGTTCATATTTTGTGTATATATTTCTATATACAAACAGATCTTCTTCAAAGAATATATTTATTTTTCAACCTGTCAAGGGAATGTTTTCTGAATTTAAATATTACTTATATTATTGTAGTATTGTCATTAGCGATCTGATTTCGCATATCAAGCCTTCCTAATTACTCGATGGTGTTAAATATGTGGTATCTATTGTTTCTAAGTTCATTTATACACTTATATACTTTGAGAACTATATACAGTACATGTATTTGTTAAAAATATTTTTTTCTGGCTTTTCATTCATATTGAAAATTAAATGTTTTTGACACTACCACTGACTACTTTCTGTAGAACTATTTAAAACGAATTGGTATGCTTACATACGCCTAGTACGTGTTAATATCTTTTTTGAAAAGTTTTTTTTTATAATCAAATTTTGTCTAAAACGCCCCTGTTGACAGGTAAATTGTTTAATCAATAGCTAAAGATTCCCTATGTACCACTTTTACATGGGGTTGGCCCAGTTGTTAAAGCGGTCGCCCGCCACGTCGAATACCCCGATTCCATTCGCCCTATTGGTACAACAATTCCAGTCGTTCTCAGCCGAGATATTACTTGAATATCGCTACAAATGTGGCCAAAGTCGCTCAGGTTCCATAATACCTTTGAGCTGGATGGAGTTACATAGCCTGATCATGAATATGTCCAGAGGATATGTTTAGTAGTGTGTGCGTGTGTGTGTGTGTGTGTGTGTGTGAGAGAGAGGGAGTGAGAGAGAGAGAGAGAAAAGTATTTAAGAGTTCACAGGTAAACAGTTAGATACGTTTAAATAGATTGGTAGAAAAATACAATTTCCCGCCTACATTTAGTTAAGAAATTAAAAGGAAATTAATTAAATATGTAGGAGTGAAACAGTTTTTTTTTCAATCTATTTAACACACACACACACACACACACAAAAGACAAAAGTCTGAAGATCCTTAGTACAGATATAATTTCTTCAATTCTTATATATAAATATACATACATACATACATTCATACATTCACATACACACACACACACACACACACACACACACACACCTGTTCGTGTCTTCCTTCTACCTGAACGTGTGAACGTGTAATCGTCCACCTGAAATGTGTTCATTGTTGGCAGTACAAGTCTCTCTGAACGCTGTACACGCCTAGGTATGCAAAGATCGTTGTTGTTCCTTTATTTGGTCGGAATAAACTGTATTTTTGAATTTTTGCAACAATAAAGTCCCTTTGGAAAAAATATCAGTTAGTTGTGCTTTCTGTCATCCAGTACATGATGTATAGTGTCATGACTGTAGAGTAGAAACAGCCAGAAAATAATGGGGGCAGTGGTAGTGGTTACCCCTCCCTGCACAGATCTGAGTTCGTATCCAAACATCCTTCAAGGTCGTGTCATGAATTATTACACTCATAGAAGTGCATGTGTGTTCCACTTTTGTCTGTGTGTGTGTGTGTGTGTGTGTGTGTGTGTGTGTGTGCGCGCGTGTGTGTTACACACGAGACAGTAGTCAAACATGCCCAATACACAAGATGGGAGTCACACATGCCCGATACACGAGATGGAAGTCACACATGCCCGATACACGAGATGGGAGTCACACATGCCCAATACACGAGATGGGTGTCACATGTCTGATACACGAAATGGGAGTCACACATGCCCGATAAACGAAACGGGTTTCACACATGCCCGATACACGAGATGGGAGTCACACATGCCCGATAAACGAGAAGGGTTTCACACATGCCCGATACACGAGATGGGAGTCACACATGCCCGATACACGAGATGGGAGTCACACATGCCCGATACACGAGATGGGAGTCACACATGCCCGATACACGAGATGGGTGTCACACATGTCTGATACACGAAATGGGTGTCACACATGCCCGATACACGAGATGGGTGTCATACATGCCCGATACACGAGATGGGAGTCACATGCCCGATACACGAGATGGGAGTCACACATGCCCGATACACGAGATGGGAGTCACACATGCCCAATACACGAGATGGGAGTCATACATGCCCGATAAACGAGATGGGAGTCACACATGCCCGATACACGAGATGGGTGTCACACATGTCTGATACACGAAATGGGAGTCACACATGCCCGATAAACGAGTAGGGTTTCACACATGCCCGATACACGAGATGGGAGTCACACATGCCCGATACACGAGATGGATGTCACACATGCCCGTACACGAGATGGGAGCCCGATACACGGATGGGTGTCACACATGCCCGATACACGAGATGGATGTCACACGAGATGGGTTTCACGATACACGAGATGGGTGTCACACATGCCCGATACACGAGATGGGAGTCATGCCCGATACACGAGATGGAGTCACACATGCCCGATACACGAGATGGGAGTCACATGCCCGATACATGCCTACACGAGATGGGAGTCACACGATACCCGATATGGATGGAGTCATACATGCCCGATAAACGAGATGGGAGTCACACATGCCCGATACACGAGATGGGTGTCACATGCCAATACACGAGATGGATGTAAACGAGATGGGATGTCACACATGCACACATGCCCATACATGCCCGATGGATCACGATACACGAGATGGATGTCACTAATGCCCGATACACGAGATGGGAGTCATACATGCCCGATACACGAGATGGGAGTCACACATGTCCGATACACGAGATGGGAGTCACACACATGCCCGATACACGAGATGGGAGTCACACATGTCACACATGCCCGATACACGAGATGGGTGTCATACATGCCCGATACACGAGGTGGGTTTCACACATACGCCATACACGAGATGGAGTCATCACATGCCCGATACACGAGATGGGTGTCACACATGCCCAATACACGAGATGGATGTCACACATGCCCGATACACGAGATGGATGTCACACATGCCCGATACACGAGATGGGAGTCATACATGCCCGATACACGAGGTGGGTTTCACACATGCCCGATACACGAGATGGGAGTCATACATCCCGATACACGAGATGGGTGTCACACATGCCCAATACACGAGATGGGAGTCACACATGCCTAATACACGAGATGGGAGTCATACATGCCCGATAAACGAGATGGGAGTCACACATGCCCGATACACGAGATGGATGTCACATATGCCCGATACACGAGATGGATGTCACTAATGCCCGATACACGAGATGGGAGTCATACATGCCCGATACACGAGATGGGAGTCACACATGTCCGATACACGAGATGGGAGTCACACATGCCCGATACACGAGATGGGAGTCACACATGCCCGATACACGAGATGGGTGTCATACATGCCCGATACACGAGGTGGGTTTCACACATGCCAGATACACGAGATGGGAGTCATACATGCCCAATACACGAGATGGGTGTCACACATGCCCAATACACGAGATGGATGTCACACATGCCCGATACACGAGATGGATGTCACACATGCCCGATACACGAGATGGGAGTCACACATGCCCGATACACGAGGTGGGTTTCATACATGCCAGATACACGAGATGGGAGTCATACATGCCCGATACACGAGATGGGTGTCACACATGCCCGATACACGAGATGGGTGTCACACATGCCCGATAGACGAGATGGGTGTCACACATGCCCGATACACGAGATGGGTTTCACACATGCCCAATACACGAGATGGGTTTCACACATGCCCGACACAGAACGACCGAAAATGGGAGACACACGCTTCTACTTTGACGACAGTGGCTTCCCAGATAGATGTTCACACAACAGACGCATAATTCCCAGGAAGGCACGACCTCGACAAAACATCCGCGTTTGATATAAGTGTCCATACGACATGGCCGGCGACACACATGGACTCGTGTTGATGGTGTTGAGTTTGGACAACGCAACAAGACACCAACCACAGGAAGACGTGAATGACTCGAGACCCGCTCTTGACGAACTCAAAACAAGGTGTAGATTTACTTCCCTTGCCATGAAATGGCGGAAATCACGTGATGCTGTTTTGGATAAAAACAGCTCCTACTTGAAATGTGCATCATGTATTTCCCTGCTGGCACTTCTCTGCGCCTGAATTTAGTAACGTTACATGGATAGAACAGACGCTCCCTAAAGTCTTTTGCTCAGATCTGATCTTCCATCCTTTCCCTTACCCTCCTGTTAAGCAGGTTCCCAAAAGATCTTGAGTCCTACTGCATTTCAGTGCATACACATCCTGTGTGACGTCACGGAGATTGCCGAAGTGACGGCTCAATGTCGCCGAAGTGTGAGCCGATGTAGATGCGGGCATCCGGTGTGACGTCACGGCAGCGGATGCAAGTGCTTCAGGCAGTGACTTCGACGAGGCCAGAGCGCCTACGGCTGTGTTACAGACGACATGAAAAACACGCATGTTACAGCAATACTTCTACTTATCTTCATACACAATGTGAGTATACCATTTACTGACTTAAACCTGTCAGGTTTCTTTGTCTATCTGACCAGATATTAATTAGTTTCATAAATAACACATACCCTCACATCCTCAACACCCATGGGCTGTTCACAGAGAACACCGTTCTACAGATCTAAGGGAGCACAAACAGTTGACAATATTCGTCTTTAAGTATCTTGTAACCCTTTGACTGCTTAACCAACACGCTGGGAATGTTTTCTTTATATTTCGTGAATTGTATTTTAATAAATGAAATATCTCAAGCTTTAAGCGATTCCTTAAGTCCGCCCATTGTTTGTGCAAGGGGGTGTCCGTGGGAAGGTTTACTTTGGTAACAGCGTGTTTAAGGAAATAAATATCCGCCCATCTGTCGAGATAACCAACAGGAACTTCCTCCCTACGATCAAAGTTCGGCATACAGAAAAATGCGTCACTAAAATTTGATTCAGTAAGTGTCACGCATACTGATTAAGCAATAATATCGGTCAATGTGATCAGCCTGAACATCGGTCAATTTATTCCCGTACACCACATGCATGTAGTTTGTTGTCTTCCCATGGGATTTCGCTGAACACAAGGTGTTTCTCCAAGTTGTCTATGTGGAATTTGAATGCTTCGCTGTGAGCCGGATCCTCCAGTTTGTCCTCCTATGACATGCCCAGAGTCAATATGTTGACCAATATCTCGTTTCCCATTTCCTCTTAATCCCAGAAAGAAATTGCCAACCTTCCCATGCCTGTCATCGCGCTGGTTTGCCATACCAAGAAATGTGCCCATAATGTCACGTATAATAACGTTCCAGCATATGTGATACCTTTAGTTACCATGACCACGCGCATTTCACTAGATTCAATATTGTCTCACACTTTGGTATTGCACATCTCTGCAGATTTAATATTGTCTCACGCTTTGGTATTGCACATCTCTGCATTGCACATCTCTGCAGATTTAACATTGTCTCACGCTTTGGTATGGCACATCTCTGCAGATTTAATATTGTCTCACGCTTTTGTACATCTCTGCAGATTTAACATTGTCTCTTTGGTATTGCACTCTGCAGATTTAACATTGTCTCACGCTTTGGTATTGCACATCTCTGCAGATTTAATATTGTCTCACGCTTTGGTATTGCACATCTCTGCAGATTTAATATTGTCTCACACTTTGGTATTGCACATCTCTGCAGATTTAATATTGTCTCACGCTTTGGTATTGCACATCTCTGCAGATTTAACATTGTCTCACGCTTTGGTATTGCACATCTCTGCAGATTTAACATTGTCTCACGCTTTGGTAATGAATACCTCTGTTATATTTGAAATTGTCTCACGCTTTGGTCATTAATACCTCACAATATTTAATATTGTCTCACGCTTTGATAATGCACACCTCAGCAGATTTGCAATTGTCTCGCGTTTTTGTAAAGCACGTCTCAGCAGATCTGGTGTTGTCTCATGCTTTGTTAATGCATATCTCAGGAGATTCGATATTGTCTGACGCATTAAATGCATATCTCACAACATTTGATAATGTCTCACTCCATAACCAAGCATATCTTAACAGATTTGATATTATTTTACTATCTGGTCATTTATATTCAACAAGAGTCGATAGCATCTGTTGCTGTCAACTATTGTTTGACAGTTCGGGACATTGATGAGGAACGCAACGCAAAACACATTAAACAATAAATTAATTAAGTTAGCTGAAGTAAGTTATGACTTTAATCATTGTCAGTATTGTCATAGATTTAAATTTCCTAAAACAAATTACACGAAACCGTTTCAATTTAGGTAATACTATGTATCCTAACTTTGAAAATTGATTTTAATTGTTCTGAATAATCTGTAATTGCTTGTAAAGGTTCTACATTGTGACTGGTCTCGCGATTCCAAGTGGAAACGTCAGCTCGGACAATGTACTTTCACTTAAAGTCTTTCAGTTCGAAATGAACAGTTGATGACGTCATTTTGAAATGTCAATGAGTTGTTACGTTGCTAATGACCGTTCCGCAAGCGACGAGGGCAATTACACAGTTGATACTGATTAGCCATTCAGCTTGAAGTAGTATTACTTATTTTTATCGAGAATTTTTGAAAATATTAAATATTTCACTACACCCTTCCTGTACTGGAACTACATCAATAATATGTCCTCCTCTTGTCCATAGGTGTCCAACAGTGAGCAGAACTCAACGGTCATTGTGTGGGATGGAAACTCCGATCTGGTCAGTTTACAATAATAATGTTCATGATTGATTGATTGTTGTTTAACGCCGCACGCAGCAATATTCAAGCTATACGGCGGCGGTCAATAGTAATGATGCTGCTGCTGCTGCTGATGCTGCTGCTGCTGCTGCTGATGATGATGATGATGATGATGTCAATATATTACGCGCCATTCCACTCATGTGAATGCTCCTGACTACATTGCAGTATCATCCTGTTTCGATTCCGGCTGAGGATGGGCCTTTTGTAATACATGTTCGTGGTAAAATCAGCCAAACTTGTCAGCCATCACTCACTTTTAGACGCAATGACATCGTGTCGCTATCCTGCGATGTCCTCAATAGAAGCGCCATCGTCTAGCGGATGATCTGATCCAGAACTGATCATTAAAAAACACAAAAAAAACATGACACATCTGGAAGATTGGCGCTTGCGGCTTCAAACAATTTCATTCATACACAGTTTACACAGTAATTTTGTTACATGTGTCTAGACATATAAGTCCTTCCTTGTACCCATTTCGTCCAATGTCATGGTGATAAGATGTATTTCTTATTATACTCAGCAAACAGATGCGACAGATATCGCGGATGCCACAAGCCTCGGCGACGAAGGATCAGGGGAGATAACCCAAAGTATGACCCCACTTTGGGATCAGTCTACAACGTTAGGGGACACCTCAACTCAGCAGAATGTTCTACCGGGTGGTGCGGTGTCGAAGATGTCGACAAGGAACGATAGTGCGACCACATTTTCTGCCCCAAGTCAAATGTCTTCTTCGACCAGGTCATCTCCAACAAGCGCTAGTACAGGGGAGACAACTACACACGGCCTCATTCAGAAGTCAACTGTTTCTTTTGATGAACCAATGACATCAGAAGGGGTGACTTATTCTAATGATAGGAGCTCGTCAATGACTACCACTAGATATGTTCCATCTCCAAAGTCTGATGCAACCCATAGTACTTCGGCTGTAGTGTCGGTTGAGGATTCACCTGCGACAAACAGGGCTTCAGAGCTGCCGACAGAACCCCCAACTACAGACGCCCCTGTGACTTCATCGTCACTTCCATTCCCGCCTACATCAACGTCGATGCCAACATCTACAGCACCTACCTTCGATCAGAGTGTACCTTCGTCTACACCAGGTGAAGTTATCACCCAACCACAAACTACTCCCTCTTCAACCACCTCGTCTACATCAACAACTACAACTACTACAACCACTACAACAACGACGACGACCACGCCTACCACCATTCCTACGACAAGCCTACCACCGACAACGACAACAACTACAACGACGACGACGACGACGACGACGCCGACAACAACTCCACCTTCACTTGGCTCTTATTGCAGTAAAGACAGTTGCAACCATATAGAACATGCTCAGTGCAACAATACGTGCCAGTGTAATGCTGACTTCTATAGCTCGGACCTCTCATGCGTCTCTAGTGAGTATTTCGAAATATGAATATAAATTTCATTTACCAACTCTGCCACTAACAATTATGTCATGTCGAAGCCCATGTGGTGCAGAGTTACTCCCCTTAGTTGTCATGCTATAGATCAATCAACCAGGGCCTAGATTTTCGACGCTCTCTTAGCACTAAGATAGTCGTAAGTTAATGTTAATGTATGGCACTTACGACTATCTTAGCGCTAAGAGAGCTTCGAAAATCTAAGCCCTGGTTAACACCTATAATGAGCTTCACTGTCGACGTATCGACCACATTCAACCTACACTCAGCGACACAAACTGAAACATGTTGGAAGCGGTGTATAATTATAAATCGAAACCTCCGTCTTGTAACATCAGCTCGTCCAAGTATTCTCCCTTTACAGCTGGACTGTAAAGGACTCTAAAGGGCTCTATTACAATCGTTACCCTCAGCTGTGAGGATCTGTCAAGGATACAATGGTGTTTGGTTCGCAGCCCCTTGAACATCGATTATAGATCCTGGTTTGCCAGCTTTAGGTGTTTATGATGTGGTCTTTTCATAACATGCTGGCTGGCAAATATGTTAAAAGCGGCATTAAACCAGATTTACCCACGTATACACAACACGCGGAATGGAAATATATAATTTCAGCAACAGAGAGCATTGCTGACACAGGTTCCACTAAATGATGAGTGATCAAATCATATACACATATGACTAAGAATATATAACACTGGGTGTCCTGATATGTGATAGTAACGACCAATCTGATGATTGCCAATCATTCGTTGTTTTTACAGAATCGGGGGTGACACCAACCAACATCAACGCCACATTCATCAACTACACAACTGCCGAGGTGGTGTGGTCGATTGCACGTCCCCGCGACGTGAAGAACGTCACCGTGACCTGTCCTCGATGTTATGGACGTATAGACGTTAATGCCAGCGCTAATACCGCCATATTGGCCTCTCTCCGCCTGGGAACCGACTTTGACATCACTGTGACTGTGAGGACACAGGATGGAAGGACCTTCACCTCGGATACAATCAAATACACCACACGTGAGTATATTCCTGCCTATATTGGAACGTACACAAGATGTTCATAGAATCAAAGACGCTCACAGAATCTGACAATACATAGATCGATACATAGATGCGCAGAAGGGTTTTATGTGGTTGCTCATTAGATTCTGACAGCGGTTAGACCTCACAGTGCGGGAGTGAGTATGGTTTTACGCCGCTTTTAGCAATATTCCAGCAATATCACGGCGAGGGACACAAGAAATTAGGGCTGGGCTCGGTAACCCGAATACCCGGGACGGGTGGGTAATGAGTTGGACCCGGGTACCCATCTCAATACCCGGACCCGTTATGATCATGTGACTAATATATTAAACAATGTAATATGTTACTCCTTCATGATTAAAAGGTTGTATTGTCTTTGAAGATTTAGACGTTATTTACAGTCACCTGTTTTGAATAAAATACATGGTTAAGATATTGCAAAACTCGAAATCTTAGCCTCCCATATGAAGAATATATTGCCATTTCTGACAAATTTGATATCAGGAATTAACATATCGGGTATCCGGGTAGGGTAGGGTAATAGGGGGTGGGGTACCAGGGTAGAAAATTTGGACCAGTCCCAGCCCTACAACAAATGGGCTTCAAACATTGTACCCATGTGGGGAATCGAACCAGGGTCTTCGGCGTGACGAGCGAATGCTTTAACCACTAGGCTACCCGACCGCCCAGACCTCACAGACAGACGAAACATGACAGAAGTTGCATGTGACCATTAATGTCCGGATTAAGGGGGTTACACTGTGTTCATGTAACGGATTACCGAGTGGCACTGTTCGGAACAAGGGGGTTGCACTGTGGTCCTGTAACGGATTAGGCAGTGACACTGTTCGGATTAAGGGGGTTTCACTGTGGTCCTGTAACGGAATACCGAGTGTCTCTGTCCGGATTATGGGGGCTTCACTGTGGTCCCGTAACAGATTACCGAGTGACTCTGTCCGGATTATGGGGGCTTCACTGTGGTCCCGTAACGGAGTACCGAGTGTCTCTGTCCGGATTATGGGGGCTTCACTGTGATCCTGTAACGGAGTACCGAGCGTCTCTGTCCGGATTATGGGGGCTAGACTGTGGTCCCGTAACGGATTACCGAGTGACTCTGTCCGGATTATGGGGGCTTCACTGTGGTCCTGTAACGGAGTACCGAGTGTCTCTGTCCGGATTATGTCGGCTTCACTGTGGTCCTGTAACGGATTACCGAGTGTCTCTGTCCGGATTATGGGGGCTTCACTGTGGTCCTGTAACGGAGTACCGAGAGTCTCTGTCCGGATTATGGGGGCTTCACTGTGGTCCTGTAAAGGAGTACCGAGTGTCTCTGTCCGGATTATGGGGGCTTCTCTGTCCGGATTAAGGGGGTTACACTGTGTTCATGTAACGGATTACCGAGTGGCACTGTTTGGATCAAGGGGGTTGCACAGTGGTCCTGTAACGGATTACCGAGTGACACTGTTCGGATTAAGGGGGTTTCACTGTGGTCCTGTAACGGATTACCGAGTGACACTGTTCGGATTAAGGGGGTTTCACTGTGGTCCTGTAACGGATTACCGAGTGACTCTGTCCGGATTATGGGGGCTTCACTCTGGTCCTGTAACGGAGTACCGAGTGTCTCTGTCCGGATTATGGGGGCTTCACTGTGGTCCTGTAACGGAGTACCGAGTGTCTCTGTCCGGATTATGTAGGCTACACTGTGTTCATGTAACGGAGTACCGAGTGTCTCTGTCCGGATTATGGGGGCTTCACTGTGGTCCTGTAACGGAGTACCGAGTGTCTCTGTCCGGATTATGGGGGCTTCACTGTGGTCCTGTAAAGGAGTACCGAGTGTCTCTGTCCGGATTATGGGGGCTTCTCTGTCCGGATTAAGGGGGTAACACTGTGTTCATGTAACGGATTACCGAGTGGCACTGTTCGGATCAAGGGGGTTTCACTGTGGTCCTGTAACGGATTACCGAGTGACACTGTTCGGATTAAGGGGGTTTCACTGTGGCCTTGTAACGGATTACCGAGTGACACTGTTCGGATTAAGTGGGTTTCACTGTGGTCCTGTAACGGATTACCGAATGACACTGTTCGGATTAAGTGGGTTTCACTGTGGTCCTGTAACGGATTACCGAGTGAAATTGTCCTGATTAAGGGAGATTAACTTTGCTCTTACTATTAGTTATCCAATTGACAGTGTTCGGTTGAACGGGGTTTAACTGTCTTGAAATAACTCGTAACCGATTGACTATGTCCAGGAAACAGCCATCATACTTCAAACTTATATTTGTCTTCAATGCCAAAGTTCATTGGATCAGAGGCGTAGTCAAGTAATGAAAGCGCTCGCTCGTCAGTAATCCGGGTTTGATTCCCAATATTGATGGTGTCTCCTGCGATTTTATGGCTGAATATTTGATTTCTGGATAATTTGTTATTTCAGGCCCTGGCCTTGTGAGAGGTGTAATGGTTTCAAGCGGAAACAACGAGATAACTGTCAGGTGGACGCGATTACAAGTTACAACAGACGTAACATACGTCGTGACCATCAACGGGATTCAAAATAGCACAGCAGGGACTAAAATCTATCAAAGAGCAAAATATGGTACGTCTGTACTATATCGTTGCCACCCAGCAAATTAACAACATAGCACCATTCACCACTATGCTATCATACCAACTGCTACCACATTTACAACTGAAAGAGCGAATATGTTTTCGTTCTTTTAGTTGTTCGAAAGTAATTTCGCTTGTTTTGCCGTTATTTGAAGTTCATTAAAATAACGATAAAATATACAAAATTTCGAGAAAGTATTTGAAATTATATTACAGTTTATATTACAAGAAAAATACTCGAAATTTTATATGATACATATAGAGAGAAAATTATAAATTTGGAGAAACAGCTTGAAATTTCGCTATATTTTCTTAAAGTTCGAGATTGTGTTACTGCTCTCAACAAACGTATTCACTAGTATGTTTTTGTTGATTTTTTTAGACACCTGTTACAATGTGACCGTTCAAGCCAGAAACGGTGCCGGACTGGGTCCAGTTTCACCTTTGTCCCAGCTTGCCACGGACGCTGGAGGTAAGTGCACTAGATCCAGGGTGAGTTAATACAGTTTGACAGCCACACGATTTCTACCATACAGTAACTGTACACTACTTAATACTGTATTAAGTATACCATGCTTAAATTTATTTCGTTAACGTCTTCATCTAAAGTTAAGTTAATCCAAAACCTTGTTATGCACATTCATCATGCCAATGGCCAGAATATAGAACAATACTATGTTCTGTAATTCTATAAACACCACGTTTTTACTCACCAATTGTGAGTTTCAGCAGATGGCCAACATTCTAAGGATATATGTTGATTTCATTTTAGCACGAAAACACATTAAAATCGCATTAATTCTCAAAATTAAATGACCACTTAGAGTCTGTTTAGTTTAATGGTTATCAAGTTCTAAAACACAAAAGATACTATTATTCAGACATATTATTCAGAAGTTTCTTCTGATACAGAGATGTATGAATTATTATGGATTTAGCAGAAATACCAAAAATATACATTCAGACAAAACAGCGATCTATCGACGTCTGTCGAAGATGAATTCCAAATGAACTACCTATGTACGATTCGGTTTGTGTTACAGTACCCGGTGGTGTGCAAGGCCTGGCAGTTAGTAACGTGAAGTCGCGGACGATGACGGTGTCGTGGACGAGACCGTCTGACGTCAATGGAACAGTCATTGCGTACAGGGTGAACGTGAGGCACAAGACGACCGGGAATGCCGCTACTAAGAACCTCACCTGTACAGATTGTGGGTCACCCTGCTCCGGACAAACACAGGTAGTGGTCAACACTTGCTCGTGCATGTTGTATGGTCAGTGCAGGTATGTGGAGGTTGGGGCGAGCATGAATGAAGCCATATATTGCCTTGAATCAATGTCGAACAATGTATGACATGTAAACATCCGAGTTACCAGGATATTTGGATTTTAATCTCAGCTTGCTTTGGTGAAATTCAAAACTACTTCCGGTGCAATTTTGTCAACGTGCATACGTTGATGACAGCTTTTGGGTAATAGTACATTATTACTTTCCTGGCTGGTGGACTTCACGAGCTGCATGATGGGAACCAAACCAGGAAATCTGGCCTGTCGAGCCGACGATTTAACAAGAGGGTTACCCTACGCTGAGATCATAGAAACAAACTTGCCCAAAATTCGTTACCCGACCGACACATTATCACTTCGTAGATCAGCTTAATACAGAACAAGTATTAACATATTTTTCTTTATCCTCAGCGGGCTAAACACACGCCTTTGGAATTCATGGCATCACAGAAAAGGTTCAACGCTACCTTTTCTGACTTGAATCCGTTCACTAACTACGTTCTCAGTGTCGAGGCCGTTACGAGGAATCACACAGGACACGCCGTCTTCACCAACTTCACAACACTGGAAGGAAGTGAGTAACTCCCAATATACTTGTATGAATCGCCATGGCGGGGAAAAATGTGTTTCTGGCAGAGTAGATTCCTCCCATCGCGTACTATTGAAATACTGGCCATCATTTGTTTAGTGATCACTGATTGCCCTGTCGGGCCATAATTCTCCGTACAGAGTTGCGTCCCTTGAGCACGGCAGAAACCTATGATCGTGGGTTCCAATCCCGGTTCGCCCTGAATATATTTCTAGGTTTGTCGGCACCAAATAGATGCCCGTGGGTAGGGTTCTGAGACCCGCATCATCTCCTTAATTTAGTTCACGTGTCGTAACAGAACTTGAATTGAAAGCGACGCTTAACCCAGGTGACTCCAGCACCATACATGTCTAAACTCGTAGGTTCACCCATAGTGTTTAAACGTCTAATATCCTTATCACCTCCTGCTTTCCTATCACATAAGCTAACACGGCCTGATCTATCTGGAATACTGGTAAAGGGGCGTTAAATCCAATCCTGAACCTTACCCGCTCATTTGTTCCAGGGCCTCGGCAGCCCAACAACGTTTCCGTACTAGCCGACACAACATCTGCTACCATCAAGTGGTCAATATCAGGTCGTCCTCGTGGTAACACGAACTATGCAGTCATCACGCGGGACCTTGATAACCATACAGAATGGGAGACACGGTGTGACAGTAAGTACCTGACGCAGCTATCAACTCAGTGACGTACCTGCCAGGTGTTCAGACGGATGGACGCACATGGGTCTATGGGGGGAAGTTGTGTTTGGTGTTGGGGAGGGTGGCGGGAAGGGGTTTTAGGGGGTGATTATGTGGGTGGTAGCGAATCGTTGGATCGGCTTTTCGAGGCCACTGCACTCCGGGCGATATTTGGGCTGACAATAGTCTCCCTACATAGGACATGTACTCTTAGATCATGCTTTCCGGAATTTAATGCCCAGTTCAGTGGTTTAAAATACTTATAACCTGTCATAATTCAATTTATGTATTGTCAGATGTGGCATGGGGCGGTGGGGAAGCAAAACGATTAAAACGTTCGATTCTTCATGGGTACTATATATTTCGCCTATTCTTGATGCTGAGCTGCTGGTGGAATATTCTTATTAGCGGTGTAAAACTGTACTCACTCACGAATATTCATCGATAGCTATTGTAGGCTACAATAATCAGCTTTGATTCTGATATTTATAGGGGTAATAAGCACCAATGATGTTCTCCGCGAACATCATCACCTCGCTTCATTTTCTCTTCAATTTGCCCAGATCGATCTTGCCATGTGCTTGGTCTGACGCCATACTGGAATTACTCACTGGCAGTGAGAGCGAGCAATACGAAGGGTAGAAAACTTTCCGACAACGTCACCTTCACAACACAGGAAGACGGTAAGAGACGTAGACGCTATACCGACGTTATTCCATCACTATGCGCATGATGGAGATTTTGACGTTGACATTATAATTGCCTTGCCTTTTCATGTGTTAGTGACGGGTGTCTCAAACTTCTCAAACATCAGGTGTCATCACTCTCTGATAAACCCTGATGACGATCATAGATCGACTCTCCTCGTGTTATGCTTCTTATGAATATTGATATCAGTTATGGCGCCAGGTGTTCACGAAACCTTGTTAACCTTGCACAAACTTATCCAGTTTCCAAATCCACAACCTCCTAGTTAGATTCTCCTGAACTGCCCTTAAAATCCAAATGGTGGATATTTTTTTATCGTTTTCGGTAATTTCGTAATTATGCTGGATGTCAGTATTTAGTAATTTCTGTAGCTGTAAAATTCATAACACGCTACATTGTCGAATTTATCATGTATCATGCGTGTTGTGTGATCCGTATTACGTGTCAAGTGTATTTGCATACGGGTAATACGTCTTGATATGTAGTTTACAAATTAATACGTGTAGTGTGCCGGATGTTTTGTATCGTGTGCCGCTTGTTATGTATCATGTACCGTGTATTATGTATCATGTATCATGTGCCATGTGTTATGTATCATGTATCACGGTTTATCATGCAACAGTTCCTGGACCCGTGACGGGGATAAATGTGACGGGCCCCAACGATGTCGTCGCTTTGAGATCTTTGACCATCACGTGGAGACCCCCGCTCCCGAGGGAGAGACACGGCATTATCCAGGGATACACCGTTTACGTACAGTGCCAGAAGGTACGTACAGTACTGTACACACACAACCCTTCTGTTGTTCAACTATGAGGGACTGTGGTGTACAAAGCTGATTGAGGGTAGTTTGAAGTGTAAAGAAGGTCTCCTTTCGAAAATCTGTGATGGTAAAAGGTGTTTGAAGGGTACAGAATGTGTCTTTTTACAACACGGTGATGGTATGTGTCTTGTAATACCGTATGAGGAAGTGTGAAGGTTTGTGATATGTGAATTAGGTCAACTAGTAAAACTGTGAAGGTGTGTGACATGTGAAGTATGTCAGCTTGTAAAACTGTGTGACATGTAAAGTGGGTCAGCTTGTAAAACTGTGTGAAGGTGTATGACATGTGAATTAGGTCAACCGGTAAAACTGCGAAGGTGTGTGACATTAAAGTAGGTCAACTGGTTAAACTGTAAAGGTGTGTGACATTAAAGTAGGTCAACTGGTAAAGCTATGAATGTGTGTGACATGTGAAGTAGGTCAACTGGTAAAACTATGAATGTGTGTGACATGTGAAGTAGGTCAACTGGTAAAGCTATGAATGTGTGTGACATGTGAAGTAGGTTATCTGTGAAAACGACTTTATAAGGGATGTTCCACATGTAAAACTGGTTTAGGGAAGGTAATGTAGATCAACTATTAAAACTGTAACCTACTACTACTACTACGACGACGACGACGACGACTACTACTACTATTACTACTACAACTTCTATTACTACTTCTACTACTACCACTACTTCAGCTTGGGGCACCCGTGAAGGTCCGGGTTAGAATATTGATCTTCAGTAATCCATGCTTGTCGTAAGGGGCGACTAACAGGATCGGGTGGTCAGGCTCGCTGACTGGGTTGACACATGTCATCGGTTCCCAATTGAGCAGATCGATGCTCATGCTGTTGATCACTGGATTGTCTGGTCCAGACTCGATTATTTACAGACCGCTGCCATATAGCTGGAATATTGCTGAGTGCGGCGTAAAACTAAACTCACTCACTCACTCAGCTTGGGGCCATGGGGTAACGTGGTGGAAGCGTTCGCTTGTGACGCCACACCCAAGACCTGGGTTCGATTCCCCACATGGGGACACTGTGTGAAGCCCGTTTCTTGTGTCCCCCGCCGTGTAACTACTGGGATATTGCTAAAAGCGGCGTACAATCTTACTCACTCACCCATGGAAAACCATATTTTTGCAAAATATATATGATTATAGAAGTATATATAGAAATCAACACATTTGAACTAATTTGTTTAGAAATTTTCCACGTTGACGATGTATGAAACATCCCTGAAGTTAACGAGAGATGTGCAGCCGGAGTGTCGCTACAACATCACGGTGAGTTGCCTGAATACCTCCTGGATCTCCTGTATACATTGGATAATAGTTGTCAGGTGCCCCTCGTCATCACAGGATGAGGTCTCCTGTATACATTGGATAATAGTTGTCAGGTGCCCCTCGTCATCACAGGATGAGGTCTCCTGTATACATGGGATAATAGTTGTCAGGTGCCCCTCGTCATCACAGGATGAGGTCTCCTGTATACATCGGATAATAGTTGTCAGGTGCCCCTCGTTATCTCAGGATGAGGTCTCCTGTATGCATGGGATAGTAGTTGTCAGGTGCCCCTCGTCATCACAGGATGAGGTCTCCCTCGTTATCACACGGATGTATACATGGGATAATAGTTGTCAGGTGCCCCTCGTCATCACAGGATGAGGTCTCCTGTATACATCGGATAATAGTTGTCAGGTGCCCCTCGTTATCTCAGGATGAGGTCTCCTGTATGCATGGGATAGTAGTTGTCAGGTGCCCCTCGTCATCACAGGATGAGGTCTCCTCTATACATCGGATAGTAGTTGTCAGGTGCCCCTCGTCATCACAGGATGAGGTCTCCTGTATACATGGGATAATAGTTGTCAGGTGCCCCTCGTCATCACAGGATGAGGTCTCCTCTATACATCGGATAATAGTTGTCAGGTGCCCCTCGTTATCACAGGATGAGGTCTCCTGTATGCATGGGATAGTAGTTGTCAGGTGCCCCTCGTCATCACAGGATGAGGTCTCCTCTATACGAGGGGTAAGAGTTGTATATTGTGAGGAAATTAACAGTGTCAGTTTGTGCTATTCCTGGAATTCTCCTGTAAACGCAACACGATAATAAACTGTCGGACAAGAGGGGCGTGGTGGTTACTGGATGGTTATGTATTTGAAATTGGTATCATGGCAGGGGCGGATACAGCTTTTTGAGAAAGGGGGGGGGGTGGTGCACACTGTTGAGAAAAAGGAGGGTGCACACTTCATTTTCACCAAAGTTTCAATGGTCATTTAATAAACTTTCAGGACAAAAGGGGAGTGCGCACCACTGCAACCCCTTCTGGATCCGCCTATGCATGGTTGTGTTTTGCATCTTACTTCTGCAGTATTTCGGCGACAGATTTCAGCCTTATAGCGTTTTATGACGTTTTATTTGATTAGTACACTCCGATAATCAAGTGTATGGTCCCCTTCAGGACACCATCACTTTTATAAACAGCTGGAAAATGCCTATATATGGCAACACTACATGAATATCTTATTTGCATAATTTATTTATTTCTGACCATATTTACAGGTGTTCGCATCCACAAGTAAGGGGAACGGAAGCCGTGTGACCAGACAGTTCATGACAACACCAGGAGGTAAGGCCACTATCTACTGCCCTAAACACGGGTAGGTCACGTGGTGTCAATGCTTCAGGAACATTTCTCAGAATACCCGTGAAGATCCGGGTTAGAAGTGATCTTCAGCAGCCCATGCTTGTCGTAAAAGGCGACTAACGGGATCAGTTGGTCAGGCTCGCTGACCTGGTTGACACTTCATCGTATCCCAGTTGCGTAGGTCGATGCTCATGCTGTTGATCACTGGATTGTCTGGTCACGACTCGATTATTTACAGACCGCCGCCATATAGCTGGAATATTGCTGAGTCAGCAACAAACCAACCGACTAACCAACATCGCTCTGAAAGCTTCAGATATGTCCATTACCTGGAAACAAATATATTAAAAACGTCTATATATGAGTTGCGCCATAGCTATGCCAGGATACGTTGATCCTCGCTTCGAATCCATGATTATTATAGATTTGGATCCCTGGTTTCAACACCATGATTGTTGGTTCCGTGAGTGCGGTAACACCAGTCTACAACCAGCCTCGATATGAGTTTTGTACCCATGTGGGGAATCGAACCCGGGTCTTCGGCGTGACGAGCGAACGCTTTACCCACTTGGGTGCCCCACCACCCCTGCTCACTCAATTAGACGACGCCTCATGACATTATGATAACGTCATTATACTGTTATCAATTAACTCATTATAATTGTTTACCTCCAGCTCCGCCAGAAATTGGAAAAATGGTTATGAAATCCAACAGCCGCGTCAGCGACCCCAAGCGTGAGATGGCCATCAGTGTACCACGTGACGTGTGTAACAACTCCTATGGGAGGGTGCGAGTGTGGGGCGTGGTTGTTCTCAGAAACAGGGACCAGTATCAAGGTGAGACTTGCAATTTTCTGAAATTCCGGTATAATTATGTGATACGCAAACGTTCTCAAAACGTTACTCGGCTGAAAACAAACGTACGGACCAACGTAAGGTCCAAAACAACCGTAAGATTCATATCGAATACGGGGCGGTGGGGTAGCCCAGTGGTTAAAGCGTTCGCTCGTCACGCCGAAGACCCGAGTTCGATTCCCCACATGGGCAAAATGTGTGAAACCCATTTCTGGTGTCCCCCGCCGTAATATTGCTGGAATACTGCTGAAAGCGGCGTAAAATCAAACTTACTCACTCACTCACTCATATCGAATACATCACCATCCAATATCCATTGCTTGTTTGGTTGGTTGTAACGCTATCGAATATATTTCTTTTGTCCGGCAGTTTATGCATTATAATTGTGCGTAATGTGGTGTTGAAGAAAACGTACAGCTTCATGGATGACAAGTAACTATCAATTTACTCTGGAATGTCAGTGAATGTTTGTAATAACGAGGTTCCTGAAAGCCCCTTTGTCGTTGTGTTGTTTGTAATAACAAGTTTCTGAAAGCAACTTTGCTTCTGTGATGTTTGTATTAACGAGGTTCCTAAAAGCCCCCTTATCTCTGTGTTGAAGGAAAATACCGTGGACATCGAGATGGCTTCTTCCGCCGCTACCCGTTCCAGATCGCCATCAACAAGTCCGAGGAACGATGTGAACACTGGCGGGATAACGGTAACTGTTGGATATTTATTAACTTTCGGTAAATCTGTCAGTGTTGTCGCTGAACTGCTGTATTAGCTCTGTATTGTACCGTGTGTAAAAGCACTGCTATGCATGGTGTGGAGTAACAGTATTATCAATATGTAGATATTTACCAATTGATTGAAAGAAAAAACATGTACATCTTCACACATATGACAATATAATTTATGTTGTTGAGCGGGAAAAAATGGAAATAAAAAAGTATTATTAATATGGATCACATAGAGGGGAGCATGGGTGGATCTATAACACACATTGCAGAGTTCCGTCCCTTGGCCACGCCAGGATAATGTTATCTGGGTTCGAGTACTGATTCTCACTAGCTATCTCGATTCGAATGTGTGCCATGCTGTGAGTGAGTGAGTGAATGAGTGAGTTTAGTTTTACACCACACTCAGCAATATTCGAGCTATATGGTAGTGGTCTGTAAATAATCGAGTCTGGACCAGACAATCCAGTGATCAACAACATAAGCATCGATCTACGCAATTGGGAACCGATGACATGTGTCAACCAAGTCAGTGAGCCTGACCACCCGATCCCGTTAGTCGCCTCTTTCGACAAGCATGGGTTGCTGAAGATCTATTCTAACCCGGATCTTCACGGGTCTGTGTCATGCTGATTGTGGGCAACTCAGTGAGAATTCATCAACATTAGTCGCTCTCGCTCGGGAAATACAAGAATTATGACACTCATTTAGTAAAATCACCATAACACAGTTGCACATCAAACGGGATCTCTGTTTAATACACGTAGTAGCATAACTACATTGACTGTTGCTTCTTGAGCCCTGTATGTTATGTCGACCGAACTCTGTCGTCGCTATGTTAACACCTTGTGTTATCTGGTACCCGTTGTTTTGTGTACCGTCAGGTTCCACCCTGTTGTCGAGGTACAATGTTTGTTGTTTGTTCTGATGCTCCCATGTGAACTGTTTGTTGTGAAGTTATGCTGTGTCTTGTTTAGCGCCAGACATAATTATCGGAGATGGCAGTTGCGAAAACGGCATCTGCAACAACCGTCTGAAGCCGGCCAGCAAGTACAGGTACTCCCCCTTCTGGGCACGTTGCATGGGTAGCCAGACTCTTCTTGGTACAGGACGGTGGGGTAGCCGAGTGGTTAAAGCGTTCGCTCGTCACCCTGAAATCCCGGGTTCGATTCCCAACATGGGTACAATGTGTGAAGCCAATTTCTGGTGTCCTCCGCCGTCATATTGCTGGAATATTGCTAAAAGCGACGTAAACCTGAACTCACTCACTCTCTTCTTGGTACATGTGACTTCAGCTATCACCATGTAATTTGATACCCAATATATGCATATAACACTAGTGTCTACAAGCACACCAGTGTGCTTAATACCTATCTCTAACTGCACGTCACACGCTACTCACTACCTTTGTCTAAATAGACAGCACAGTCTTACTGCACGGCACATATGTGCTTAAAGTCATGCTTATAAATACATGTAATTCATGTTCTTAGTAGCATTACCGGTATGTAATAATAATATAGAAGGGCTTAACATGTAGTTGCATGACACATGTGCTTAATACAGGTATATTACTATTTTATGTGCATAATACAGGTATATTACTATTTTATGTGCTTAATACAGGTATATTACTATTTTATGTGCTTAATACAGGTATATATTACTATTTTATGTGCTTCAGATTGTTGTTAAATGCACGTCATATGGGCTAAATACTCTTCGGACATTTATTTAAAACTACTGTATGAATGAACGAAATACACAGAAACTTCACCTGTCATAAATGTTGCTTTTCAAAATTCAAAGCCTTCGATCCTTTATAATATATAATCTCCCATATAACCTTTGACCCACAGGCCCTCTGTCTTTGTGAGGATTAAAGACTAAAAATATTTTGAGATGACCCCCAACTCGAAATGCTTCATAGTACAATAAATCATGATTATTGTACTGTGAAGCATTTCGAGTCGGGGGTCATCTCAAAATATTTTTTAAAAATCTTTAATCCACGCAAAGACACGAAGGCCTGTACCCTGAACTGGTGACACCAACTATATGCAGTTCTGTAAGATTTCCTCTTTCATTAAGCCACGCCGTGATCATTATGACTGAAATATTGTACATGGCTGTCGGCATAAAATTCAACTCACTCTCTCTGATAATGACTTAGTGGTTCCTGTATTCCAGGTTTGTTGTGTTCGCCTGTACGAGCACCGGCTGCAGCGAGACTCTCCCCTCCGTGTATCTACAGACAGGTAGGTCTACGACAGCTCGATCGTTGCAATATTGTTTAAATGACACTACCTAAAACCCGTGCCTGAATACCCACTCAAGTAGGATTGTAATTACTTATAATTCCATGTAAACTGAAGAGCATAGAATCTATACCTCTCAGTTGATTTTGTATTTTTGATTTGCATTGGAAAATATCTGAAGTTAGCGATGTAAAGTCCTCCCCCAGGACAAACTAAGAAACAAGAAAAACAAACAAACAAATCCCAAACTACTATTGGCACTATTCTTTGCATAGTGTAGTTTAAAAATATATATATATATCAATTTAAAACTGTAAAAGTTGCATGAGGCACAACTGCTGATGACAGTCTTCACATCTTGTGATTGAAAATCAACACATTTGCTCAATTCGGGACAACATTACAACATTTCGAACATCGTAGGGGAAGTGGTTGGAAATGAATTCCTTATCCCAGTCTTCATCGGACTAATATTTTTAACACAGAATTACCCAGCTTCAGACATACAAACTGCATAAATATTTGATGATTAAATAGACATAGTCAAATTTTCAAGTTTATTTAATCTTCAAATGCATTAAAACAACAAACTCGTAAACGTTCATTTCACTATGCATGTCATCATATGTTGGTGTTTCAGCAAGCGAAGAGGAATCCAACACATTCATAGTGGCAATCGTTGCTGGCATCGTGCTCATAGTCCTGTCGTCGCTGTTAGTCGCCGTACTCTACAAGCTGTGGCGGAAGAGGTGAGAAAGGGGTCGGAAGTGAGCACAGGGCTAGGTCGTCCTGTCTTGGTATAGTCAGGGCAGATAATTATGGAGATGGTGTGTAACAGTGAGAATTAACTGAAAAATACAGATGCGATGTTATGTTTGAATTCATCGAAATTGAAGGAGCACAGCGAGGAATATCTATTGGCCAAAGACTTGCACTAAGACTGGATCATGCCGAGATAGACCTCGTACCTCCTGTCAGTGTTCACAAAATACGCCCCGTAAGGATCCGGGTTAGAGTTTGTCATTAGCAACCAGTGTTTGGCGACTAAGGGGTTGGGCGGTCAGGCTCGGTGACTTGCTTGATGTAGGTCATCGTCGCCAAGTAAAATCGATGCTCGTGATGTCAATCTCTGGATTATCTGGTCCAGACCATTTACAGTCGGTTCTTACACAGCCTGTATATGACTGAGTGCGGCGTTCCACTAACAAAAGAAACCATGGACAAACGAATCAACCAACCGTCCAATCAGAATGCTGCATAGCTTCAAGTTCATGGATTATGTTTCAGGACCGCTGTACGCCCCAGTGTCCATTTCGACCCCGCGACTATCGAACTAGGAGCCAAGAAGGCCAGCGTGGTGTCCCAGGCCCAGAAGTCCCGGTAGGTAGTGCAGTAAATCTCATGACGTACCCAACACCAGAGTGCGTCGTAGCATAACCTTGGTGCACACTGGCGATGTATATAATACAATATACAATTCTATAAATGTTTGTCAGTACCTAGAATGAACATGTAATGAGAATCGTATCAGCCTCGAGTGCACCCTCACTACGATCGTGACATGTTGCAGACCTGTGAAGCTGCAGAATTTCTCGGACCACGTGGAACAGTTACACAGAGACTCCAATCTTGGCTTTGCAGAGGAATTTAAGGTGTGTAAATTCTGTGGTGTTTTACATCTATAGGTACTTTCCTTTTGTGGCTTACGCCGCAATGTTTGGAGTGCTAAATTATTTGCGGTCTTGCCAGATTCTTCATATATCAGGTGTTATTTTACCGCCCAATTTGTTGAGGCCGTTACATGCTACAGAATATATTTATCAGTGTTGAACCTCTATTGCCATATCTTATGATGAATATCAATGACGTACCGCATGCCATATCTATGCTTACTCGTTCACACATTTCTACCATGTCTCCTTATGTCGTACCTGACCTTTTGTCTTTTCGTATGACTACCCTTTGTCTTTTCGTATGACTATCCTTGGTCTTTTCGTATGATCCCTGTGGCTTACTTATGACCCACACCATGATGTAAACATGACGTACCCTATGACAAATCTTTATGACGTGTTTGACAGATGGTGGCTCAGGTGTGTGGTCGACATCCCACGAAGTCAGCAGAACAACAGGCGTGTCGCACCAAGAACAGATACACCAACGTGCTGCCATGTAAGTCAATCCCTGCTACACATCCAGTTTGAGATGAGTATCTTCAACCCTCCCCATAGGCTTTTGTCTGGAGAATTTGCGCATATATGTATAGGTGTTTTATACAAATCTCACAAAACATGAGCCGATATTCTGCCTCTGTAGTGATGACCCTGTCTGCACTAAGATGACCAGCACATGCTCAGTCAATCCTGTCAGTAGTTCTATATCCTGATTCACGTACTGTCTCTGTGTAGATGACCACTCCAGGGTGAAGCTGTTGTCCCAGGACGACGAGGAGGGTTCCGACTACATCAACGCCAACTTCATCACGGCAAGTTCTTTGCACATGTCAACCCCAAACCATTATTGTTCCTGGAGCAAACCAGGAATTATGAATGATTGTCATACTTAATTCACCTAAGCTCTCAGCACCAGAACCATTGCCTTTGCTTCGGTTTAAATGGGTTTCGTTCTCCTATCAAGCTGGCATACCCTGTTATGCCTGAGATTATGTTTAAGATGTCGTTAACTCCACAACAGAAGACCACCAACTATTTTCGACGGACCTAATTTTTCAATGCGTATTGTCACACATCCCTTTCTTTGTCTCGTTTCCTTATGTCTGAAAATAGTTAACCAAAGCCCTCAGTACTGTTCCTGTTCGTCCTGCCTGTTTCTGAGTTTGAACTGAGCTTCGACAACTCAAGTTTTTCCTATGATGCGACTATGATCGGGTGGTCTTTTTTGCTGACTTGGTTGAAATGCATGAGTAGATCGATGCTGTGATGCTAACCAAGAGTCGTCTGGTCCAGACTCAATTGTTTACAGGCCGCCCTGATATAGCTGGAAGATTGCTGATCGCCGTTAGACAATAAACAAACACTGTTGTAGACCTGGTGATAATAACGTTGTCTGTACATTTGCAGGGCTATAACTGTAAGCGGGAGTATATCGCCGCCCAGGGCCCGCTGCCCAGCACGAAGGACGACTTCTGGCGACTCATCTGGGAGCAGAGGGTCAGTATGGTCGTCATGCTGACCCAGTGCAAGGAGAAGGGCAGGGTGAGAACAGCTGGTGATCATGTTGCATGTACCGGGGGCGTGTCCCTGTACGATCTCGTTATGTCTGGAGTACCTATCCTGACATATCTGTGTACATCTCCGGCCACTGAAGACAGATCTCCTGACAGAGGCGTATACATCTCCTGTCAAATCCGTATACATCTCCTGACACATCTGTTTACATCTCCTGACACATCTGTATACATCTCCAGACACATCTGTATACATCTCCAGACACATCCGTATAGATCTCCTGACACATCCCCTGAAACATCTCTATAAATCTGTTAAACATTGTAATACATCTCCTGACACACCCGTATAGATCTCCTGACACATCCGTATAGATCTCCTGACACATCCGTATAGATCTCCTGACACATCTGTATACACCTCCTGACACATCTGTATACATCTGTTAAACATTGTAATACATCTCCTGACACATCCGTATACATCTCCTGAAAAATCCGTATACATCTCCTGACACATGCATATACATCTCCTGAAAAATCCGTATACATCTCCTGACACATGCATATACATCTGTTAAACATTGTAATACATCTCCTGACACATGCATATACATCTGTTAAATATTGTAATACATCTCCTGACACATCCGTATACATCTATTAAACGCTGTAATACATCTCCTGACACATCCGTATAGATCTCCTGACACATCCGTATAGATCTCCTGACACATCCGTATACATCTCCTGACACATCCGTATAGATCTCCTGACACATCCGTATACATCTCCTGACACATCTGTATACATCTCCTGACACATCTGTATACATCTGTCAAACATTGTAATTCATCTCCTGACACATCCGTATACATCTCCTGACACATCTGTATACATCTCCTGACACATCCGTATACATCTCCTGACACATCCCCTGAAACATCTCTATAAATCTGTTAAACATTGTAATACATCTCCTGACACATCTGTATACATCTCCTGACACATGCATATACATCTGTTAAACATCTGTATACATCTCCTGACACATCCGTATACATCTCCTGACACATGCATATACATCTGTTAAACATATGTATACATCTCCAGACACATATGTATACATCTCCTGACACATCTGTTTACATCTCCTGACACATCCGGATAGATCTCTTGACGCATCCCCTGAAACATCTCTATAAATCTGTTAAACATTGTAATACATCTCCTGACACATCCGTATAGATCTCCTGACACATCTGTATACATCTCCTGACACAGTACACACATCTCCTGACTTTTGTATCCATGTTCCCAGATCAAGTGTGAGAAGTACTGGCCAGACAACTCTGAACCTGTGTACTTCGGGGACCTGATCGTGCATCTCCGCTCCGAGTCCGTTCTGCCGGACTACGTCATCCGTATACTTGACGTCAGACAGGTACATGTCGTCTTAAGAACATACATTTCCAGAGTATGATTATTTCCAATAAAAGAGCAAAAAGAGCAGTACATACTAAGAACGATTGTTTCTCGCATGTTTGAAAATCGAACTGTGAAACTGTGTCAGATATAACTGTTTTGTCGTTACCAGGGTAACAAAAAGCGTGTACTACGTCATTTCCACTTCCTGAAGTGGCCAGACTTTGGCTGTCCCGAAAGAACATGCCTCCTTCTGAACTTTGTGTCAGCGGTGCGCGCGCACATGCCCCACAATCAGGAGGGGCCAACACTTGTACATTGCAGGTATGTATGTACGCATGAACACGTGTACAGCAGACAGAGCTCGCACTAAAAAAGGTACCAATGAGAAATTGATGTTTATCTCAATTTCTTTATAATTCTATGTCTGTTAATGTGTTAGCAGTGTATGAAATCAGGCCCATCCGACAGCCCGAGACGGTCTACATTTCTGACGGACGGTCTAAATTTACAGCTAGCCAGCCCGATGGTCTGGAAAAATTATAGATGTTCTTTATATCTGAGTAAATTCACCATATTTGGTCTGGTTAAATCCATGTTGGGGTGGTAACATTTTGAAGTTACCAGCCCTGATGTCTGGCTGGGTTTTTGGCTTATTTCATACACAGGTGTTAGACCGTTCAGTGCAGAACAGGGACGTGTTTATTGCAGTGGATGAGACGTGTCGGTGGAGATGCCAACACCGTTATCAATTATTTCTACACCGAAACATTGCATCCATTGCAATAAAGAACTTGTCTATCCATAAAACATTGTTCCTGTTCATCATACCAGCTTCTTAATGCCACTCAAAGAAGTCTTTCAGAGCAGGTATAATTTGTTAATTGTTAATGCCAAACAGCAATATTCCAGCTATGGAATGGCATTCCTTAGATTGACCCGTGAAGATCCGGGATAGAATAGGTCTTCAGCAACCCATGCTTGCCACAAAAGGCGACTATGCTTGTCGTAAGAGGTGATTAACGGGATTGGGTGGTCAGGCTCGCTGACTTGGTTGACACATGTCATCGGTTCCCAATTGCGCAGATCGATGCTCATGCTGTTGATCACTGGATTGTCTGGTCCAGACTCGATTATTTACAGACCGCCGCCATATAGCTGGAATATTGCTGAGTGCGGCGTAAAACTAAACTCACACACTCATTCCTTAGATTAGTCGAGTCTGGACCAGACAGCTAAGTGATTGACCTTAAGGGAACTATATCATGGGGATGCATTGACATCACGAACCAAGATAGCTAGCCGGGCCAGCATATCCCGTTGGGCTGCTTTCAAATTCAAACCCGAATCTTCACAGGTCACAGGCGCTAGCACGTTCATCAATCACCCTTATCACTTACTATGTGAAGGAACTTGCGTTTTTACCGGAACCTGTTAGCTTTTAATTAGCGTGTAATTTGTCCTTGTTCATTCTACGCTGTCAACAAAGATATTTTAAAAGTATATTGTGAATCGTCTTGCAACAATAAAGGTAGATAAGCCCATTTCAAAGGATGTAACATTGATCATTACGGGTTGTCTATTCTGTTTGCAGTGCAGGTGTAGGACGAACTGGGACGTTTATTTCCGTGGACGTCTTGCTACAACAAATCCGCGACTACAGCGAATTGGACATCTTTGGCCTGGTGCTGCAGATGAGGGATAACCGACCACACATGGTTCAGACAGAGGTGAGTAGGACACCTAGAAGAACGACATTGGGGATTAGCAAGTGAAATGGTTGGGCGTCCATTGCAAGCTGGTACTGACCCTTGCTGTTGTTACTCGTGATACGACATCTGTCAAACCAAAAAGTGACCAGTGACAAGTCTTCTTATACCTATATCAGAGCTTTAGAACACGGCTTTCACATTGAAACAATGCAAAATACTCTAGTTTGGGATTTTAAGAAGATTGCTTGCAGTGCTCTGAGCCTTTAACGATTTGTTCGAATTGTAGATTTGTAGCCTAGGTCTGCTAACATGCTGCACGTACTCGGGAGACTGTAACGTTGTGTTGGTTACAGAGTCAATACATCTACATCCACGACTGCATCAGGGACGCTCTTCAGGAAGAGACTGATGATGAATGTGAGATGGAGGAAGAAGAAGAAGAGGAGGAGGAAGACGAACGTGAGTAATAATGACACTGATTATAAGGTCACAGGCCACAGAAAGCATGGTATAGTGGGACCAATGTGTATTGCTAAATCATGTTAACACCATTAGACATCAGATCCACGTATACTCTCGTGTGTTGACACAGCTGATGCGTGTACACAGTACGTGTTAAGGTACTAGATACAAGTACACACTACGTTTTGGTACTAGGTACAAGTACACATTGTGTTAAGGTACTATTTACAAGTACACATTGTGTTAAGGTACTAGATACAAGTACACACATTGTGTTAAGATACTAGATACAAGTGCACATTGTGTTAAGGTACTAGATACAAGTACACATTGTGTTAAGGTACTAGATACAAGTACACACTACGTGTTAAGGTACTAGATACAAATACACACTACGTGTTAAGGTACTAGATACAAGTACACACTACGTGTTAAGATACTAGATACAAGTACACACTACGTGTTAAGGTACTAGATACAAGTACACACTACGTGTTAAGGTACTAGATACAAGTACACACTACGTGTTAAGGTACTAGATACAAGTTCACACTACGTGATAAGGTACTAGATACAAGTACACACTACGTGATAAGGTACTAGATACAAGTACACACTACGTGTTAAGGTACTAGATACAAGTACACACTACGTGTTAAGGTACTAGATACAAGTACACACTACGTGTTAAGGTACTAGATACAAGTACACACTACGTGATAAGGTACTAGATACAAGTACACACTACGTGTTAAAGTACTAGATACAAGTACACACTACGTGTTAAGGTACTAGATACAAGTTCACACTACGTGATAAGGTACTAGATACAAGTACACACTACGTGATAAGGTACTAGATACAAGTACACACTACGTGTTAAGGTACTAGATACAAGTACACACTACGTGTTAAAGTACTAGATACAGTACACACTACGTGTTAAGGTACTAGATACAAGTACACACTACGTGATAAGGTACTAGATACAAGTACACACTACGTGATAAGGTACTAGATACAAGTACACACTACGTGTTAAGGTACTAGACACAAGTACGTACTACGTGTTAAGGTACTAGATACAAGTACACATTGTGTTAAGGTACCAAATACAACTCATTGTTTTGCAACTTGGTAAAGTCAGATAGTTATGTGAGCTACAGACCCCTTATTCCGTACACCTGTAGATAATCACTGGTACACTGTGCTACCAATCTTAGTTATATCACTATTGAAACACCGCTGGACACGCACGCACTCTCACACACGCACACTGATTTACACGTCCACTTTCTCCACTTTGTCCGTCCCGTTTGCCTTATTTATCTCTCTTCCCATAACCCCTACATGCCATTGCCCCTACACCCCAGTACCCCTACAATTAGTTAAAACAACACACGGCATTTACCTGTCTGGCATAATGGACTGACCCAAGGAGAGATTAGTGCATAGAGTATACAGATGAGATCAAGGGAGGGATTAGTGCATAGAGTATACAGATGAGATCAAGGGAGGGATTAAGCTGTTGTTTAGTGTTTTGTGTCAAGGAAATTTGGGATCAGCTAAAAATTGATTAGTTTCATGATGAAAGATAAACCACTAGTGAGTAGAACAATTTTACAAATTGGATAGTGTTTTGTGTCAAGGAAATTTGGGATCAGCTAAAAGTTGATTAGTTTCATGATGAAAGATAAACCTCTAGTGAGTAGAACAGTTTTACAAATTGGATAGTGTTTTGTGTCATCAGCTAAAAGCTGATTAGTTTCATGATGAAAGATAAACCTCTAGTGAGTAGAACAGTTTTACAAATTGGATAGTGTTTTGTGTCAAGGAAATTATGTTGTTGTAAGCTGTAGGGGTAGTGGCATGTAGGGGTAATGGGGGGTTACCACACACACACACCATCCCGCCTCAACCACGTTCGTGGTCGAGTGTGCTATGTCTAGACTGTATAGAATGATATCAAAATACTCGCTCTATAATATCATACCGAGGACTTCCTTCTTATACTCAGTACTGCCTGATGGCCGTTTCTCGTGACCACCAAGGGCGGTACTGACACGATGTGAAGGAGATCTTTTACTTCCTGGTTCCTATATCTCTTCCTTGTTCGTGTGTCGCCAGTCCCGTGACTGTACAACTAAATCCTAGTGTGTAGGAGTATAGATGTAATTGCGTAGATAAGTACAGATGCCATCATGATTAAAATGTTTTATCGTTCTGAAAATAGAGTTTTGACATACAGTCGGTTCACATTAAATGTTGATGTAGTTATGACATACAGTGGTTTCACATTACACGTTGATGCAGTGGTTTCACATTACACGTTGAGATGCAGTTTTGACATACAGTCGGTTCACATTAAATGTTGATGCAGTTATGACATACAGCTGGTTCATATTACACGTTGATGCAGTTATGACATACAGTTGGTTCACATTACACGTTGATGCAGTTATGACATACAGTTGGTTCACATTACACGTTGATGTAGTTTTGACATACAGTCGGTTCACATTACACGTTGATGTAGTTTTGACATACAGTTGGTTCACGTTACATGTTGATGTAGTTATGAATACAGTTGGTTCACATTACACGTTGATGTAGTTATGACATACAGTTGGTTCACATTACACGTTGATGTAGTTTTGACATACAGTTGGTTCACATTACACGTTGATGTAGTTTTGACATACAGTCTGTTCAGATTACACACATGTTGATGTAGTTTTGACATACAGTCTGTTCAGATTACACGTTGATGTAGTTTTGACATACAGTCTGTTCACATTACATGTTGATGTAGTTTTGACATACAGTTGGTTCACATTACACACGTTGATGTAGTTTTGACATACAGTCGGTTCAGATTACACGTTGATGTAGTTTTGACATACAGTCTGTTCACATTACATGTTGATGTAGTTTTGACATACAGTTGGTTCACATTACACGTTGATGTAGTTTTGACATACAGTCGGTTCAGATTACACGTTGATGTAGTTTTGACATACAGTCGGTTCACATTACACGTTGATGCAGTTTTGACATACAGTCGGTTCTGCATTACACGTTGATGACATTAGTTGGTTCACATTACGTTGATGTAGTTATGACATACATTACACGTTGATGTAGTTTTGACATTACACGTTAACGTTGATTTGCCTGAACAGATTTAACCATATGTAGTTATGACATACAGTTGGTTCACATTACACGTTGATGTAGTTTTGACATACAGTCGACATACAGTTCACACACGTTGATTAGTTTTGACATACAGTTGATGTAGTTTTGACATACAGTTGGTTCAGATTACACGTTGATGTAGTTTTGACATACAGTCGGTTCACATTACACACGTTGATGTAGTTTTGACATACAGTTGGTTCACATTACACACGTTGATGTAGTTTTGACATACAGTCTGTTCACATTACACACGTTGATGCAGTTATGACATACAGTTGGTTCACATTACACACGTTGATGTAGCTATGACATACAGTTGGTTCACATTACACGTTGATGCAGTTTTGACATACAGTCGATTCACATTAAATGTTGATGCAGTTTTGACATACAGCTGGTTCATATTACACGTTGATGTAGTTTTGACATACAGTCGGTTCACATTACACACGTTGATGCAGTTATGACATACAGTTGGTTCACATTACACACGTTGATGTAGCTATGACATACAGTCTGTTCAGATTACACATTGATGCAGTTATGACATACAGTTGGTTCACATTACACACGTTGATGCAGTTATGACATACAGTTGGTTCACATTACACACGTTGATGCAGTTATGACATACAGTTGGTTCACATTACACGTTGATGCAGTTTTGACATACAGCTGGTTCATATTACACGTTGATGCAGTTATGACATACAGTCGATTCACATTAAATCTTGATGCAGTTTTGACATACAGCTGGTTCATATTACACGTTGATGCAGTTATGACATACAGTTGGTTCACATTACACACGTTGATGCAGTTATGACATACAGTTGGTTCACATTACACGTTGATGTAGTTATGACATACAGTCGGTTCACATTACACGTTGATGTAGTTTTGACATACAGTCGGTTCACGTTACATGTTGATGTAGTTATGAATACAGTCTGTTCACATTACACACGTTGATGCAGTTATGACATACAGTTGGTTCACATTACACGTTGATGCAGTTATGACATACAGTCGGTTCACATTACACGTTGATTCAATTTTGACATCGTAAAAGACATAATGCCTTGAGAAGTATGTGCATGGAGCATTGGCAATCATAATGACACCAGGTGTTAGGGAAAAGGGTAAGAATCATTGCCCTACAGGTAGCGCACGCCACTCAAATAATTTACAGAAAACATAATTGTTTATCGATCCAAGCCATGTAGATGTTGCGGGCTCCGGTCTACAGTGGTGAAGTTACCGAAACGCCCCATCACAGGAAATTCAGTCCGCTGTTTCAAACGTAACGCCACGAAAGTAAAATACTATATATTACTAGATACTTATAATTTATAAAATCAAAAATGTCTTTTTAAAGAAAACTAAACTCATTTCACAGAAAACTTTTCTCCTAGATTTGAGGGCAGTGGGGGTAGCCTAGTGGTTAAAGCGTTTGCTCGTCACGCCGATGGCCCGGGTTCGATTCCCCACATGGGTACAATGTGTGAATCCCATTTCTGGTGTCCCCCGCAGTGATATTGCTAGAATATTGGTAAAGGCGGTGTAAAACTAAACTCACTCACTCACTAAAGACACAATATACATAAGCTATATCACAGCTTCAGTCACTTTTGTAAATCTGTTTATTCTGGAAGCGAAGTAATCGATTCCACTTCAATCAACAGATTCTCATTGTTCATTGTTCACTTGTTCATTTTGGCCAACCATCTTATTTCCAACCTCCACCAGCATCAGAGTGGACGAGCAAAATATTGAAAAAAATGCAAGGTGTTTCATGAATTCTCAAATTTTAAAACAAGCGGTACATGTCTGTGAATTGATCCATGGCGTCGATCAGGCTGCTTCACAAACGATTTTTTTATTTAGCGGAAGCAAGATGAAACTGACCTGAGGTTTTGTGAGTGTTCAATGGGAGTATTAACTGTTATCACATTGGTGCAAACTTTAAAAGGGGAAAATTAAGATATGAAAACTATTAATTGATTATACATCAGAATGAAATTTCAAGCCGGGCTTTTTTGTGAGACTCAACTGTTGTGAGCCTTACACAACTGCCTGGGCAAATGTACCTAATGTTATCTGCTAAGAAATGGTGCTGAGGCAAACATGGTTAGGATCACGTCTCCACATCCGCCGGCCGCCATTTCCGTGGCATCGCCACACGGAGGTTGACGTATCATTACGTTAATTAATATCTGTACAAAAATAATCACATCCATAGGTCCACCGCAATGATGTAAAGAAATAGTTTACTGTGAGCTAGGGCATTTGGTCTACATTGTTTTTAAATGATAACCAATTGCGAGGATTCTGCTCTTAATTGTAAAAAGTCTTTCGGTATTCATGAACGAGGGTAGAAAATCAGTAATTCTGAAGCAGTTATTACTGTTTTAACCAACTCATTAAGCCCGAGAGCCACCTCACTACTCAACACCTGGAACCCCTCGCTGATTGCCCACTCGCTGTGCCGAGACTAATTAGTGCTAATCACACCTGATTTCCCTGGCAGGTTTCGGGGATCACAGGAAACTGTCTAGTCGTACAAACAAGTCCTGATTGTTTAATTGTGTCGTAAAGATATATGTTGAAGAAAGCAGGTGTGAATACATATCGTGTATTGCAAAGGTTTATGTAATTTTATTGCAAGCTTCTCTTTTAGACCTTTGGCGGCTTGTACATTTATATTTTATCACAATATGCATGTATTCTTTGTATGTAAGAGATGAGACACAGATAGACAAATTCTCTCTAATATCATTGTGTGAGGTTTAAATTTACAAAACATCTATGACAATGACATACTGTAAAGAAGAATTTACTTACATACTTTATCATCTTCGACGAAAATAGCGTTTGTGCCGATACATTTCTAGTGTATACGAATTATTTTAATGAAAGTACAATTACGCTAGTCTGTGACTAACATAGAGAACATTCATAGCTTGGCACTTTGTTTCATCTAGATTTAATGCAGAAAACATACGTGACCATACCAACATACATATAAAAAATGTATACTACATATTCCTTGCATAGAAATAAAAAAAAGAGTCACGTGATAGGGCGTCATCACATTTCCCGAATAGAACGTTCGGTATCTCAACTGTTCAATATATATAGTGGCTGGTCATATGTTATCTGTGACCAATCGCATCATGAGATATCTGTCACAGAGGAAAGGACAGGTGATGGGGCGTGGGCAAAATTTCTGAAGAGCACGTTTGGGCAGAGCTTGGAAAGAGATTGATTATTGTCTATATCGTTGACCAGTCGATATGCTGGGTTTCGGCTTTATCAACTCAAGCTATCATGTAACAGTTTGTGTCTTGTAAACATACACACTGGTAACGATGTATGAAATATACACATAAGACAAATAGGAGTAGATACACACTTTGGCGAGTTTATTTGTCCTCATTTTAGTGTTTTTCGATACGTAAAACAAAGCGATTGAAATCCAACCATTGAGTAGAGATAGTATTTATTTACATATAGATTTTACGCACACAACTTGTACATAAAGCATAATGGTTTGCTGTACATGTAAATATAATCTTCACCTTGATACAAATGAACATCCAAACTAAAGTAAACGTATTACAGAATGGTTTGCTGTACATGTAAATATAATCTTCACCTTGATACAAATGAACATCCAAACTAAAGTAAACGTATTTCAGAATTCACGAAATGACACTATACTGAATCATTACCACCCCCCACCCACCCTCCAAATATTTATGAAGGAGGGCGTGCCTATATTTATACTGAATGCAAACAAGGTTCATAAGATAACAGATGTGCATGCGTGCATAAACATTACAGAGAGGGGCATGACTCCATAAAGCAGGTTGTCCAATGATACAACAGCGCATCTGTTTATTTTACACTTGTCACGGGACAAACCTTTTAACAAGGACGTAACTACATATGCATTCTACCGGAGGCTGTTATTTCAAGGTCGAAAGAGGTGTTCAAATATCTCATTACTGTAATCTGATTGAATGATTATATGCATGTGTATCGATACCGTAGCTGATATACTATCCAGCTTTTATTGACGATGGATCAATAGAGACTGAGTTCATTGTTACACGTGATAATTACACCGGATTTGATAATTACAGAGATCAAATACAAATGTTTTACACAATGTTCATGTAAATTGCATAGAAAACTGACGATTCAAATCAACATGAAACTCCCAACAGCTTGAACATAAATGCTTGAAATACCTTTGTATGGTTTACATGTAATAACTTATGATATTACTGCTGTCTATGTGTGAGAATTTTTTGAATTACCAACTTACTGTGTTTTGTAACAAACGTAGTAAACGATTTCATTGTTGTAATAACACTGGCATATATTATATTCGATGCAAAGGCGCGATATTCGATTTGGTAACATTGTCAACTTTAGATTATGGAAAATAAATACAATTCAGTAAGCTTCAAAATAGTAAGTTAAATTATGTCTAATCTATTCGAGCTTGGATGTATAATTATTTGTGTTTATACATTATGTTTCATTATATGTTTCATTATATGAAACATGACAACGTAATAATACCTAAAATATATATTCAAACTATTCTATTGTGTTTGAATTTTTTGTATGTCCTTGAAATTTCGTATATTGTTTCCTATTTAGGAAGTTGAAGAAAATATAATCTTCAGTAACCTCTAAACCATTACATCTAATTCAATCAATGTGCATACGAAGTATTTTAGTATGAAGAATACCAGACACTTACCTGTAAAAACATCATAATCCCCTTTCTCGCCGACATGTGTTCATTTGCCAAACGCTGTACAAGCCTATGATAATGATTAGCAATTGCTATCAAAACACTTTAAATACTTCTTCTGATTGACACTAAAGGTAGCATCTCTCGCAAGAAAAGCTAATATTTGCTCAGTGCTACTAAATTGGTTGAAATAATAGGTACAGTGCGATTTTTAAAAGTACAACACACATGTGCGTCTCTCGCTGAATAAGATGTGCTTTCTGTTGACGAATATATGTGGCTTTCGCTGTGAGAAACTGCCAATTACCTGCCCCGTAAACACGTCACTCGCTGTGAGGAGCTGATTAATTTGCCCCATATACGCGTCTCTCGGCCTTAATGAGTTAATACGGTCATGTTAAGGAAGAACATTTGAAAATGAAATGTATAACAATGTGCGAATTATAAATGTAAACTTTACCAACAATCATCACTGAGCTAAAAAATGACAATAAGTTGTAGCGGGAGATTTTATGGTCTGGGGTACGTCGTTTGTCGGATGTGGATGTCAAATGGTGGCTGATGCCAAACGTGTATGAATGAATGAGGTGCTGCTTGATCGGGTTGGTGGGAGTGTGTGCTTGCGGGCGCTCGGGCGTGCATTAGACTTACGCTAAGTCTCCGAATATATGCATGTACGTGACAGAAACAAAGGATTTCTTTTAAATTGAAAAGGATCCCCAATGGGAAGGGAGATTCAGTCTAAACCCGAGAAAATCTGGATTTGCTTCATTTAGGGCTTAGAACTCAAGAAAGGGAAAATAGTGCGGTTCAGGGACTGTGAGACAGACTATGACAGTTATATGCGTGTGCGTGCATATTTGATGGATATGTGCGGCGGGCTTCTATGGTGTTAGTAGATATTGTCTTTCATTCCGTATTGCGTGTGAGTGCTGGCTGTGCGTATGCGTCTTGTGTGTGAATATGCGTCTTGTGTGTGAGTATGCGTCTTGTGTGTGAGTATGCGTCTTGTGTGTGAGTATGCGTCTTGTGTGTGAGTATGCGCCTTGTGTGTGAGTATGCGTCTAGTGTGTGAATATGCGTCTTGTATGTGATTGTGCGTTGTTTGTTGTTATTTTAGTTCCTTTAAACATATACAGTCATATGTAGCCAATATACAGTGAGATATATTAAACTGTATTTTTCAGACATCTACCAGAACGCCTAAAGAGCAACCCCACATGACTGACCAACTGTACAGCACATTCAGGGAAAGAGAATATTCAAGGCTGGCCCTATTGCTGGAGATACCGTGTAAATATATACAGAGCGTTCTGTGAACACAACACGCAGGAACACCAACGTCGTCGACCCCAACTGTACAACATTCAGTACCTGAAAAACACACACGGTTAAACATCTATAACTGACTCAAGTGAACACGTTGACGGACGTCCCTGCTGCAGGGGATAGTGACAGCAGCAGTATGTGCAATGGATGTGTAAAGTAACAACCAGAAACAGGGATGTTATACAGAACCAGGGTTCGACTGTTGTTGTGTATGGAGTATTGCGTTCCTTGGAAGACTAAGGATGTGACTCGGGAATCCCAACATCAGATAACAAACAGTGTTGTTAAACTTTACACTCTGGTTACTGTGACTCAGTGTACTGAGCGGACATCCGATATGCACGACTCTTTCAGGATGCAGTGTAGCCTTGTGTTAGTCATACGACTAACACTTTAATCCAAGCTACTTGTGTCCAAGCTATTATGTAAATGCATATGACAAGCTCGCCCTGCTGGATATACGTACAAACACCGTTGTATCGAACGTTGATGTGTCGAATAGCGTTTGTCTCGAAAAATAGGATTGTACCTCTGCATTCTTTCCTTATTAGTTGTCCGCTGTGTCGAACTTCGGATAACTCGAAGTATTTACGTAGGTCCCATCGACTTCGACACAACGGTGTTTCACTGTCGATCCAAGATGACCATTTACTCAAGTATTTTTCGTGCAGTACAAGGAAAAATGTAACTGCTGTTTTCACGTCAACGATTTGAATCAAACGTTGTTACGGTGTTGCCTCCCCTAGTTCGAGGTTGACATTGTATTTTTTTTAGTTTACATGAGTCCGAAAAGGCAAAATGAAATTGAATTCCAAGGAGATGGTTAGATATGAAAGACGTGCACATCCAAGGAGATGGTTAGATATAAAAGACGTGCACAGACATATGTTTTTATCAGTTGATATATATATTTTTTTTTGTGCTCACATATCGCTTTACAGTTAATTGACAACCTTTCCTTTCCCCTTGATATTTTGTTTGTATATATTGGCAAATTGATACAGAAACAGATCTAGTATATAATGGTGATGGAATTATCGGAGCAAACCATAAGTCTTCTAGTAGATCGTCAAAACATAAATATAGAATATTAAAACCGGTAATATGTGATTGCACTGCAATCTTCCAAAGCTGTGAGATCGTTCACGTCACACTAACAAACCCGTGATGAAATATTAACTTATTACGTCTGTATTATCATATTTCATGTTTTAGAATTTATTCTATATGTATATTTCAAGCGTTATTTGTTTGTTTACCTTTCGTTTATATATATGTATACTCAGATGTGTTTATACGTAACATGTTGCAATGAAACCAGTGTTTTGACCAATCACTTTCTTTGGTCAAGTGATATTTGACGTCAATGTCGCATAGATGCATTCCACAATACATTCCTAAAATGTCATTCCACCGTTTGGAATCCATATCCAGATGTAATCAATGTATATTATAAAATATATTTGCATATAAATATTTTCTCAGAAGTTCACTTGTATTCACTGTTCACATAAATATAAACGACAACGTCAATGTCAGAGAGAAACCAGTCTCGGTTATCCGCCGATACAGATTCCAAGTGATATCAGAGAATAGTATATGAATCTACCACTGAAAATCAAAGGGCACCAGGTGTTCGCGAATCACGTGACTCGGTTGGAGGTGTTTGTCGTTTTCGTAACAAGTGACACGCCATATATTTGGTTGTCATCCTGCTTAAGGTCGTGGAGGGTCGAGGTTAAAGCGTTCGCTCAACACGCAGAACTGAGTTCAATTCTGAGAATGGTTGCAATGTATGAAGCCCATTTATGGTGTCCACTGCTATCACATTGCTTGGACATTGAAAAAAAGCAGAAGAGGAAGTCAAATGGTTGAAGCGTTCGCTCACCACGCAGAAAAACCGGGTTCGATTCTGAGAATGGTTGCAATGTATGAAGCCCATTTATCGTGTCCACCGCTATCACATTGCTTGGACATTGCAAAATGCGGCATAAAATTATACTCTCTCACTCATACTCAAATAAGCCTAGCGGACTCGGTCACTGATTTGGCTGACACATGTCATCGTATCCCTATTGCGTTATTACGTAGATCGATGCTCATGCTGTTGATCACTGAATTGTCTGTTAGGACTCGAGTATTTACAGACCTGAGCCATATAGCTGGAATATTGCTGAGTGCGGCGTTAAACAACAAACCAACCAACCAACTGAAATAAACAGTCTGGTCCCACAATATTGACGAACATTAACCACAACAGCTCAGGTTTCAGTGATGACACTCAACACTCATCTCGATGAGTGTTGGGTTCACCAGGATCTGACTTGGAATGATGTCATTTTCCGGGGAATGAAACCCGGATGTACTAGGCAGCCCGACATCGTGACTTTTGTGATGAAATCTGTCATTAACGAGTCAGTTAATGTGTTGAGTCACCGGCTCCTACCACAGAAAACAAACAGCTGTGTTTTGTTATGGAAAAGGAAGATTGAATTTTATTCGGCTTATGTTTGACCTGGTGTTTGATGTTGATAAATGACCTATTGAAATGACCACTTGTGTATAAATAAATGAATCTCTAGATCGACAAACACATGTTATCGGGCACTTTCTATGTAGTTATTTCTGGCACGGTGGCCATTACCACTGGGAGTAGTTGATTCCGGTGTTTAGGAGATCTAAAGACCTCGGTAATTCACAGCTGAGTGTGGGACTTCAACCCAAACTCTCACAGGAAACATCCATCCACCAAAATATTCTATACATATATTAATAACTCAGAAACAATGACTACTTGAAAGGCGTGGAGGACAAAGTGTGTTAGAACACACATACATATACACAAATTATAATACAATAGAGATCATGCTAATCATCATAATAATCAACATCCATATCGTTAGAATTCAAGACATCACCCAATTCGACAAACGACGTAGAGATGTTTCATTTTGTGACATAAACTGACGGACTAAAGAAAGTATACGCCCATGTTTGATGACGCCTGAAAATGAAACACAACACACAAGAACTGGTGCTCCCACGGTAACGTTGCTTGGTGCTGTTGTACAACACAACCTCAGCGCTAAGTGAGTGAGTGAGTTTAGTTTTACGCCGCACTCAGCAATATTCCAGCTATATGGCGGCGGTTTGTAAATAATCGAGTCTGGACCAGACAATCCAGTGATCAACAGAAGGAGCATCAATCCGCGCAATTGGGAACCGATGACATGTGTCAACCACCTTAGCGCCAAGACCGCTTTGTACAGCGGCTCCCTGGTATCTAAAACGCTGTGGACCTAAAGTTAAGACGTTATAGCGACGTTGTAACGTTTTTATAACGTTTGGAACGTTTTGCAAAATCCTCTTTTCAAGAGAATGCTTTCCTTTACCCGGCAGTTCATGTTGTGCCATTGACACGTTTTCTCTCCCCTTTGTTACAGGTCACCGAGATGTAGATATTATATAAACTGGTTTAGCTATTGACTTGCGCAACATGCTCGTGCTCTTAACCATTTACGGTAACATGTGAGGTGAGGTGAAATTGAGTTTAACGTCGTACTTGAGAATATTTCGCACATATGACGACGTGCATGCGTGTGTATGTGCTTGTACTAGCCCAGACTTAAGCTGGTTTTATAGTGCTAGCCCACTGAGATACCATGCCGCAGTGAAGCATGAATACCCCACTCAGACACATTATTCTGACTCCGAGCCGACCAGTCCTTGTTGTACCCATTAATGCCGAGCGCCAGGCAGGGACCAACAAGTACCATATTTTAACGTCTTTTGGTATGACGCGGTCGGGGATCGAACCCGCGACCTTCCGCTCTCCGGGCGGACGCTCTAACCATACGGTAACAGGTATAGGTCGCCTAATTACGAATGTAATAAAGGTGAAGGCGATGTGCAATGCCCGAAGTACATTTTGAGTAGTTAACAGTAAAAACTAATTTCGATGATGATTATTAATTTTAGTAAGTAACGTCCAGTCGCAGCCTTCGTGGTATCGAACATCGCCAGTGCAGTTGTTTAGGTAGACAGGGTCCCAGTCAGGTGTAATGTCGCCGACAATGATATTCGGCACCGTCAACTTACCCATTAACAATTTCTTAGAAACACCGGCAGTAAGGATTCCGTTTCACGTTCACCTTATATACAGTAACCCCTGATCAAAGCCCATCCTGAAGATTACGGATACTACTGAAACGTCTAATTTAGTACACGTACTTGAATAACTTCAGCGAAGCAGAATGTAACAATACTCTCCCCTAATGGGAACAGCCCTCGTTTTGTGGCACACCATTTCCTGCTTCCGGTGTCACAAGGCGGTGTGCGGAGCTCAGTCTGCTTATACATGCGGTATGAGGAGTACATGATAATCATACAGTTAGGATTACATTCTCCGTACACTGGAGCTGTGAGGATTACATCCTCCGTATATAGGCGTTGTGAGGAATAGAACAACATCCTGCTCATACAGCATACAGGCGATGTGCGGAATAGAACCTGCTCTTACAGACGTTGTACGGAGTAGGACTTGCTCAGACAGGCGATGTGCGGAGTACAATCTGGCTCTGTGCAGTGTGCAACCTGTTCATACTGGGCTTGAGCAGAGTATAGTCCACACCATCCCCGATGATCTCCAGGGTATACGTTCCGATAAATCTCCACTAAACCCTGGATGCATCTACGGCTCGAGCCGATGATTTTATTACCTCCCGTGGTTGGCTTTTTATCCAATCAGGTGTCTACGCTGGGAAGTTGAGCGTACCAATCACTCACCAACCAACTCACCTCCGCTTTTTAAATTATCTAACCGATTAAACTTGGCAACACAATAATATATTGTTGCAGGGGTACTCTGTAAGAAGTAGGAGTTCTTGCATATATTTTTGTAAGGTTTCAGACCTGTCAATTTGTTTGTATGTTTTCCCTCCAAATCTGAGTCGCACTGCGAACAAACTTTCCCAGCTGCGACCGCTATCTTTGTTTACACTGGCAAGCTCGGTTGTAACGGCGGCTTTTCTGATTGGCTTGTGTGAGAATGCGGCGCCAGCAAAGGGAGGTAATAAAATCATCGGCTCGAGCCGTAGATGCATCCAGGGTATAATGGAGATTTATCGGAACGTATACTCTGGAGATTATCAAGTCCACACATGCAGGCGCTGTATGTAGTACAAGCTGCTCGTACAGACAGAGTGCGGAGTACAATCTGCTTACAGCTGATGCTCCTGGAAAACAGCCTGTATCTTTTACCACTCACAGCAAGTTCAAGATCATCCGCAAGTGGAAAGCTGTGTGTTTCAATACCCACTTAACTTCTTTGAAATGTTCATATGCACAATATGCCTCTCTGTATTTGTAACAAGGTACTCATGTACTATACTTCACAGGCCAATACATATTGTCAGCATTATAAACAACAAGCACCGTACACCCTGCCAGCCATGGTACAATACAACAAGCACCGTACACCCTGCCAGCCATGGTACAATACAACAAGCACCGTACACCCTGCCAGCCATGGTACAATACAACAAGCACCGTACACCCTGCCAGCCATGGTACAATACAACAAGCACCGTACACCCTGCCAGCCATGGTACAATACAACAAGCACCGTACACCCTGCCAGCCATGGTACAATACAACAAGCACCGTACACCCTGCCAGCCATGGTACAGTACAACAAGCACCGTACACCCTGCCAGCCATGGTACAGTACAACAAGCACCGTACACCCTGCCAGCCATGGTACAATACAACAAGCACCGTACACCCTGCCAGCAATGGTACAATACAACAAGCCCCGTACACCCTGCCAGCCATGGTACAATACATCAAGCACTGTACACCCTGCCAGCCATGGTACAATACAACAAGCACCGTACAGCCTGCCAGCCATGGTACAATACAACAAGCACCGTACACCCTGCCAGCAATGGTACAATACAACAAGCACCATATAGCCTGCCAGCCATGGTACAATACAACAAGCACCGTACACCCTGCCAGCCATGGTACAATACAACAAGCACCGTACACCCTGCCAGCCATGGTACAATACAATAAGCACCGTACACCCTGCCAGCCATGGTACAATACAACAAGCACCGTACACCCTGCCAGCCATGGTGTGCAATACAACAAGCACCGTACACCCTGCCAGCCATGGTACAATACAACAAGCACCGTACACCCTGCCAGCCATGGTACAATACAACAAGCACCGTACACCCTGCCAGCCATGGTACAATACAACAAGCACCGTACACCCTGCCAGCCATGGTACAATACAACAAGCACCGTACACCCTGCCAGCCATGGTACAATACAACAAGCACCGTACACCCTGCCAGCCATGGTACAATACAACGCAGTTCACCCTGTACCTGTACATTGTCAGCATGTTCTACCCACGTGGTATTCCACGTTAAAAGTGGTCCATAGCGGTCTGGTTGATCTGACTCAGTGATTTGTCCGATA